TGCATTGTTGGTTTAGTTATATGTAGGCTCCACTATCAAAAGTTTGTCAAATTATATTATCTGCATGATTAGTGACCTTTCTACATTAGACACTTAGTTTGTTGAAGATTAATCAAATTATATACAAAACTTACATTTTTATACTACATTTTTATGTTTTACGTTTTTACTCATATTTCTACTTCTATGTAGAAACGCGCATTCAACTACATTATTGGTCACTACTTTGATCATCGATAGCGACAAATGGGGAACATATTTGAGGTTTGCATCATGATGATGTTAGGATCACTGTCAGCAGCATCATCGATATAGTACCCTTTCTGCATCATCTCCCCTAATTAACCTTTATGATCCCACTTGGTTACAATTCACTGAACCAATCAATATCCCTTGTATGAATTTCGCTGAACAAGGAAAGCTACAAAGGAAGGAGAGATTTAGGGATAGGTTAGGGTTAGATTGTTATGGAAATCTAGAAGCAGCAATATAACGTATGTGGTATGAAGAAATAACTTGTTATGCAATAGTAGAATTAGTAGAGGAACTCTCATCCAACAGGACCTCTCCTATATCTTTAATTAATTTATTAAGAATTAAACACCATTTGTTCTTTTTCAAGGTACGCAACGCCACTCGTGCATGTTCTCCATGACCTTATATAGCAATCAATGGATTTGGCATGCTGGCTAAGATTGCATTCACAATCTCGGTGTTTACTTATGATGACTCCAATCACAAGGTGTTAGTCGTCCTTCTCCTCTGCACTGTACTAATGGTGCCTTTAGCTACCATGTTGTACGCATTTATGAATGTGTATCATGGAAAGTAACGAGCGGCGCTCATTGGGATGGTAATCAACATCTCGACATTCATTGTATCTTAAATAGATTGGAAAGAGGTGTAGTTGTTGAGCCTAAGAAACAGTGTTCAGTACAAGATAGTGGTTTCATTGAGTTTGAGTGTTGCTTGTATTTTGTGCAAACTTATGAATTTTATTAAATTGATATCATCATTAACTTGATCTAACTGCAAATTTGGCACGCCATTTTGGCTGCCATGAACAGCGTGATACTACTGGTCCTTGGTCGGCATTATATCTTGACCAAAGAGATGTCGTGGGCTAAATTCATTGAATATGTCAAGAGCTGATTAAACGAAAATGAGTAAGGTAAATACAAAAGACAATCCCTCTTGTACGATTGCGAAAAATTGATTGTTTAATTTTATCAGTACTAACACTAACTTTTGGATATTTTTCTCAGCAAGCCAATCGGATGTCATGTCGTCTTTGGACACCGATAGGTTGGATAGGCTCGAAGAGGGCCTCAGGAACATTGATGGTTGTCCCATCCGATCGTTGCAGCAATTTACAAAAGTGCGAGCAGGTATGTGGGAAGAGGTTAGAAGAATCCGAACTTCTTTTCTCACAAGCGAAGCTTCCACTTCCCGGCCTCGCCGGCGCACGACGGTTTTGGAGATTGAAGAAATAGATGACGATGAGGATCCAGTTGTTGTTGAGTAGTCTATAGAGGAGCAAGGGCTCAAGATCAAGCAAGTTTGTGAAGTAGCCATAGAACCTCCATGTGGTTTGATCGATTATCTGGATAGGCAGTATATCCATATTAATACTAGTACATAAATAATCATTGTTTATCTAAGTTATATAACTATATACCAAATTAAACAATACTTACTTAAATAATGAATGATCATTTAACTAAATTATATAACTAAGTTATATAACTTTTTTATTTTACATCTCTCTTACTTTACTATTTACTATGTCTTTTATTTAATGCAGGAGGACAATCTAATGGAACTTATGCCGTATAAACTTCTATGACTGTTTCGTTGTGAACTACTATTCAACCTTCTTGCCATATATGGTCACACAATTCAACAGCCTCCTACTCATCTTGTACGTTCATTTATTTTCATTTTATTTAAAGCTATATTTGCTTCATTTAGATTTTTTGAAAGAATGCACTGAATTTAACTACTTTATGCTCATCTTGTACATTCATTTATTTATGTTTTGTTTGAGCTCATCTTTTCTAAAGGTAGTTTAATTTGAAAAAGGTACTTGATTTTAACTCAACACAAATAAGTTACTAAATCTGGAGACTTACTTATTGGCAACTAATCCCTATCTTTCATCTACCATTCAGATGGAATCTATATGACTTATGAGAATCTTTGCGGTTGGGATTTTAGTGAAAGTATATTTACTTTCACTATTATTGCATTTGCACATACGCCAAAACAAGAAGTGCTAACTTTTCTTCTTTGGTCTTTGTCGATATCGCCACTACGGGGATAATCGACATCACCTTCCTTACCTTCTCTCAAAAAGTCGAATAAGGGATTTTATTGGGGACAGTGCTTCCAATCTTCCCTTTCTTCTCTCTCCTAGCAGCCTTTTGAGATCTGGTAAGTAATTAAAATGGTAAAAGTTCTTATGAATCTAACTGTAAATTCAGTAGTCTAAGTACCTAAAAAATTTCCTCCCTAACAAGTATACAGTTTAACATGATTTTGAGGATGATCTTCTGACCAGATGCATTTATTAGCCTTAGTGTCTACCAAGCTCAGGCTAAGTGTCTACCAAGCCCAATTTGTATGAGGCCCAGGAACCCAAGAGTAAATATGTCTGAATTTGGTCCAAAGCGGACAATATCGTACTAATGGAGTTACTTGGTATCAACAAGTGGCATTAGAGTCTGGTTTAGTTTCGATTATGAGCGATGAACATCAGTTCTATGGACCCTCATTTGGTGACCTCATGATTTGAAATCTGCATATCTACATATGGTAAATCCACGAAGTTCGTGGTCCTTGTCTTGTGGAGGATTGTTATGGTACAATCCAAGCACTACACTAGAGATATAGGGGAAATGATCCTTTTATATCCGAGTCCACCAAGCCTAAACAGTATAAGGCTTTTTAGGGAGGATACCCAAAGGTAAATCTGTGTGGGCTTGGCTCGAAACGCACAATACCGTGCTAATGTAGCTACCAGATCTCAACAAGTGGTATTAGAGTTTGGTTCGATTTTGAATCTCGATAATGGATGTCAGTTTGGTGGATCCTCATTTACTGACCTCGGGATTTGAGATATGCGTTTGTTTTGTGGATAAAGGGAGGTTCGCGTCAGTATGGCAAATCAAAAGAGATCTAAATCTAGTAAATTCTTGCCTCGAAGAGTCTATTCATACAAGGTGTTTGGCAAATCAAGATAATTGCTAAGTAGAGGACACGATATTTGTCATTCTTGTTTTAACTGGAAGATTGTTATGGTACAATGTAAGGACCACATTTGCCACACTTATTATTTAACAGGGGATACGGCTACATGTAGAATCCAGGTAATAAATTTGCACCCTATCTTGTTACTATGTAGGGAAAGAACCATGTGTACATAGAGCATTTCGTGGAAGCAAATCAGAGGGGAGAAAATAGACAAACTAACAGAAAGGAAGAAATGAAAATTAACATATTATAGTGTTTCGATATTCATATTCGTCCTATTACAGGTAGGGTTAAGGTAGTATAATTTATCATGTGTCGTGGGTCAAGGCAGGTTGACTCATATGAGTAAGTAATTAAAAATAAGCATTAGAAATATTCATTTTTAAGTAAAAATTCAAGAAACAAACTATAATATGATACATGTAATAAGATTATTTAAAAAATTGAGATTATGACGTATTTACAACTGTATTATAGTTAAAATATTATGTAATAAAAGTAAATGATATGATCCAAATTGGCCACTTCTACAAGTCACAATTACTTGCCAAAGAAGCTATCAAGGTCGGAAAGAAAAGAGGCAGAATTTAGTTAAGTATTGGAACAGTGTCGAGGTACCTACTTTGGAGGCTTGGTTCTCACAATTGGCTCACTGAAAATTGGAGGTTAAGGGTTTGTTTTGAAGATAAAGTCTTCCTCTTCAAGTTGGCATGGTTTTTGGATCTAGACGAAGTCCTTAAAGTTGTTTTCCAAGGCCTCAAAGTTGATATCTCTTTTTTTTTTAGAGAGAAAGTTGCTATCTCATAACAGGAAAACTGCCAGAATCTGTCTAAGTATAAATCTGTGTTCATGAAGCCTACTTTGGAGCTCAATTCGATGAGCATGAAAGATATTCAAGTCCAAAGGCTTCTACAACATGAAAATAGGTATGTTTATCTACCAAGGGAAGGAATTGGATGAAAGATTGGAGTTCTGGAAGGCTTCGAACAAAATGCGCGAAGTTAGTACGAAAGCTGCTTTTGGACTGTTTACTGGCAGCTTACTTGTGCTTCAAGAAAGGAAGTTTGGGTCCGAATTTTGTGGCCTTTTTAGAGTAGAATTTTACTTTATTTGTTTCCTTGTTCATCTAGGTTTGTATTAGGTTTTCTTGGCTATAAATGGCCTTCTATTTTCGTTGTAAAAATTCAGACTTTGATTAATCGAATTGAGAACCTTTTGGTTTTGTGCAAGTTGTGACTTGTGTTGGGTTTGGTGGATTCCAAGCTCGTGAGCTCTTGTAACGATTGAATAGTCACTTCAATCGTGGTCGGGCATCTATCATTATACCAATCGAGCATTCCCCAGGTGTGGAGTCGTCCTTTTGGTTCTGTTTTATCCAAGTTCGTATTAAGAACGTTTCGTTCTTGATTTGAGTTCAATCGATTCTTCAATTGAATCGTTAGCTGCGTTACTTTGATAACATACACCCCCCTTGGTCGTATTAGTAAAATTCTAAAGGAATTTGAGTAAAATTGTATGTAATTTAGACAAAAATGGATCGATTATGGGGCATGTTAGGGCATATCAGGTTGAGGAGAATCACTATACATAGGTATTATCCGCCCAAAACAAGTCGTGTAAAACGGGTCAAGTCAAAATTGAGTAAAATTACATGTAATTTAAACAAACACAGGTCGATATTAATGGGGCGGGTTAAGGCTGATAACGATGTAATTGCACATATTTGCGCCCCTAGTTCTTATCCGTTTGAGGGGCATAGTCGTGTATTGTGGCCTATTTTACGCCGGGTTGTGCTATTTTGTCATGTTTCAGGTCCCAGGTGTCAAAGGGAAGGCTAAGCGCGAGTTTCGGGGCATTCGGAAGTCATTTCGGTGAGCTGGAGCCAAAACACGGGCACACCTAAATCATTACACGGCCGTGTTCTGGTGGCCGTGCTTTTTATGCCGAGAGCTGAGCTGATTACACGGGCAGGGCCAAAACAAAGCACGGGCGTGTTCAAGCATTACACGGCCGTGTCCAAAGCGAAGCACGGCCGTGTTTCTCCCCACTGCTGCTAGTGTAATTAACACTAGCCAAAGCACGGGCGGGCTGAGGCATTACACGGCCGTGCCCTCGACCGTGCTTTGGCTGATGCCTTTTTAAGCAGATTTTCAGCCAAACAGAAAGGGGATTCGAGTTTTTGAGAGAGAGAACGATTCCTAGAGAGAGAAAGTGACGAGCAAGAGTTCCCAAGTGCCCTAGATTGATCTTCAACACCATTGGAGGCCAGCTTGAGCTTGGAGAAGTGCCAATCAACTTCCAGAAGCAGGAATCCATCCTTCGCAGTATGAATTCCGTGTCTGATTCTGCTTTTGCTTTCTTCTCTATGGAGTAGTTCTCCCATTCATATGGGTATGGAGAACCCTAGATTTGTATGTTAGGCTTTGATTGTATGAACCCAAGTACTGATTCTGTGATTGATTATATTCGATTGAGGTTTTGATGATTGAATGACTTGAATCCTGATCAAATTCCTGTTGTTTCTGCTTTAACCTAGAATGAGAATATCTGCCTAGGTTAATAGAGTATCCTTGATTGAAGGTAGGGAGTTGGTGACTTTAGTCGAGGAGCCAACTCACTATTCTGTACCGGATTTACTCCGGTAGTGGAGGTTTTGTTCTTAGGGCCTCAATCTGTCGCCTCCGGTGGAGGTTAGTCGCCCGCTAGAGAGTCAGATTGAGAGGATCTGAAGACCTTTAGTCGAGACTTCAGGCTGTTTAAGAACCTTCCGCAGTATAATCTTCATAGAAACTGAACTTGGTAATTACAATCCGGCTTAACTGCAGTCTAGGGGGAACCATATCCGGGTGACCTCTTTAACCTGAATACAACCAGTTTACTTGCTTCGTTTGTTTGGTAGTTTAGACTTGCACTCCAGTTTTATTGCTAGATAACAAGAACTCACTGAGTAGTCAGCAAATCTAGGACCCGGGTTGATAATTAAACCTAAACCCGCTATACTACGCTTTAGGAAGTGGTTACACTTGGCCAATTCCTGGAGTGACAGTAGAGTCGAGTCAAAGGCATATAAGGTCAAGTAGAGTACCCCATGCATAGGTATAATCCGCCCAAAACAAGTCCAACAGGTCGGATAAAATGAAGCAGGTCAAAATTGCCATCCTACCCACACCCAATATGAATCTTAATTAATTACCTTTCATAACAACATCTTGCACTACAAATCCATCAACTTTAGCTTTCTCTGTTGTGATTTTAGTTTCTCATTATCCAAGTTTTATTATTTCTTATCTGGGTTATTGATGAACCCACAAGTGCTTAGAGGATAAAATGTGTCTATACTTATTGACGAATGTGACACACGTTTTGCTTACATTTTCTGTTTTTTAATGATCTTGGTTCTAAAGTTTAGAAGATTATAGATAAAGTAAACAGTTAAAACATTAAATTTCACATTTATCTGAATTTAATTTAATTTTCCACGACAATAATTGCTTCAAGAGATTGTTTTGATGTCGTGAATTTAGTCGTCCGCTACTTAAACTATAACGATAGGGGAACAATATGGCATATTCATTTGAAGAAGGAATAAAAATTGGAGATTAGTTATAACTATCATTTAATAGCTCTTACTCTCCATCTCACGAGCATAATATTAGCTTGAGCCTACCTTCGCACACCTCCATTACTCTTTAGGAGGCATTCGCGAAAGATAAACTACCCACCTCGTTGTCCTCCCCTCCTCCCTCCGAATTTAGATTTTAGGTGCGACAGTTAGGCATCTTTAGACGAAAGAGTGAACTTTCAAGATTGGTTGTTGTGTGTCACCACCTCTCTCAAGGAGTGGATGAAAAAGAAGAGAGAATTTCTATCAATCAGAGGAAGAAACTAGCTCGACCGATAAGTTTATCATATGTGAGCCCAAAGGACGAAGGAACAAAGTTGTTCTACTAAAAGGATAAATTAGAATATTCTCGACCAAAGTGAGGTTAGAATATACTCTAACAAACTGTGAGGGGAAACAACATATCGACCGAAAGTTTAGAATATGTGAGTTCGAAAAATGAAGTAACGAATCCCAAAAAACAATATATGTAGCCTCCTAGCTCGAGCTAGCTATGATTTGGCAAGCCAATCATTTCCCATGGGAACAACAAACCAAAGAGACAATTCCAGCAGAAATTGCTGCATTAATTCGTGTGGGGTGGGTCTTAATAACTAGAAGCCAATATTGCTCCAGCTAGCTAGCCCAACTCATTGCAATCCTGAAATTCTTTCTCCTGCCCACTTTCAACTCCAAACTTATTGATCAACCTATATGGCATGCCTTGGATCCACATAAACCAATTCCTCCCTTACCTTTCTCATCTCACTAATTGTTGTATATATAAAGTACTCTTCAACATAATGCTTACATGTAGAATCACTGTATAAAATTTTACACGAAAGTAGTATTCATGTAGGTGAAAGTACCATTTGTACATATAACATGTTCAAGAGGAAGCAAAAAGACCAACTCAAAGGAAGGAAGAAAAGAAATCTCTATTTAGGTAAAAGAAACAAAAATTTCCCACTCATCTCAATTATTACCTCTCATAACAACATCCTCCTCCAGTACAAAAAAAACTCATCAACTTTATCACAACCTACTTGTTGTGTAGAGGATCGGGGCAAGAAGGGACAGCTCGATCGACAGTCGCGAAGAAATCTCCATCTTCACTATGAAATCCATTGTTGCTCTGCTCACTGGAACCTGCTGTTGGACCATGATGATCCTCTTGATGCTCTATTTCATCTCCTTCAACCTTCTGCAGTCTCACAAGTCTTCTTGCTCCAACAAACCCATGGCGTGAAGAACAAATCAGCACCAGAATCAGCAAAAAGCATCCAACTTTGTGATGATGAAGGTGATGACCATTCGATGTTATCATAATAACCCTCTTTGGAGGAAGAAACTTCAATGGAGTACTTGCTCAAATGGCTCTGCAAAAATGGTGCTTCTGAAGCCAGAGAGAGAAACAGAGGTCTTGACTTCAGAGCAAAATGGGTATCTTGGGAGGAAATGGGTTTTCTTTCTTTATGGAAGGAGAGTGTGATGTTAATTAGTCAAATGGGGATTTATCATGGACGTGGGGTTAAAGCTGATGGCATTCATTTTTTTGGGTCAATATTCCTCCTCCTATATAGAAACAAGGATATGGATTAACAAAAAGAAAATTAACTTATGGGTATGTTTTTCATAATGTGTCCCACAACTATATAATAATGCTATGCATTTTGAAAAAAAAAATTGCATACCAAGTTTTGGGTATGAACCTGGTTTTTCATTTTCTAATTTTGATGACCGACCAAGCTTCCCTAATCCAAGGTAGACCTTAGAAGTGAAGAAAATTTAGACCAAGGAGGAAGGAAGTAATAAAGGGGAAACAAAGAGCCAATTAGATGTCATTTGGAGAGTTAATATATATAAGTATGTTGTAAGTGAGATTATAAGAACTAATTTAATGTCGGAATATAGTGTTAAATTTTCAAAATACCATGTATTTTAACATTGTATTCGTGTTCGGATAACATAAATTTTGTGACGAAATTAAACACGAAAAAACTATTTAATATGAAAAAGCATGTGGGTATTATGAAAATCAATAAGCAATGCATTAAAATATATTATACCATGTATTTTAACATTGTATGGTGTTCGAATAATATACTTTTTGCAAGAAAATTAAACACGAAAAAACTATATGATATCGAAAAAAAATATTTGACATGCCTGCCAAAAAAAACCTCTGTTTTGTGATCTCAGTTGTCAACCTAAAACAAACTGAAGCACTCTTTTGCTCTGATGTGTTTTCCTTCCAGAAAAGGGCCTCAATTTCAGGATCTTAAGCTTTGACTCTTCCTTTGTAGGAGAGCAGAATAGTTAGCAGGCAGTAAGTACTGTAATGTCTCATGGTTTGGTCATATGTTTGTTTGGTAATGATGCTGCAGTTGTCGAGGGCAGAGCCATTTTGATGTCTAGTGTTTAGCCTTATTACTTGACTACGAATTTCAGAGACTAACTGGAATGCTGTTTGGGTGTCAGTTCATCAATTATAAAAACAAATGCTTCTGTTGTGTAAAGATAAGACATGATGTTTGTCTCGATTAGTCGTATACAATTTTTCTTTTATTAATTGGTTTCATGGAGTAGATATTATTGTCGACCTTCATTATTATGCTTGTAAGTATCAGTACTTTCGTTATAAAAAAATATATATGTTATATTACAAATTGAATTTATACTTGTGGTATAAATTTGACTTGTATCTATATTTTTTTTTTATAAACTTTTGTACGATACAAATTGAATTTGTACATTTAACGTTGTATACCTTTTCGTACAAACTGAATTTGTATATTTTTGTACAAATTTCTTTATAGTACAAAAATTAACTTCTACCTGAAAACCTCATTGTTTACAAGTATTGTAAAATTCCTCATTATCATGGTTAATTGTCAATCATAATTGCTATTCTTGACTTTTGATTGTCTAAATTTAAACTTACTTGACTAGATTACAATTCTCTCAACAAAGCACGAACCATTTACCTAATCAATATACATGTGTCAAAACATTATGATAATTTTTTTTCAGAGATTTCAAAATCTAATGCTTTCTTGTCTCTTTTCTTTGGCCTTCTAAGATTCAAAGTGATTGGAGGAGGGCTTTCACTTGGAAGTTAAGGAAGTAAAAACACCTTTTTTGCATTATTTTGCTAGAAAGGCATCTTTATCTTATGCATTGTTGTTTTTCTGGCTAGGATCTAGGTGGAGATGTTTCACTCTATTGTACTGTGCTTTTTTGTTTCTTCTTTTGGACCTTCTTATGGCTGTTCTTGATTTCCTTCTCTCTCTTCTCTGCTCTTCATCATCATCTCATTATTTTACCCTTTGAGATTTGTCTTGACTCGACAACAGTAGAAAATTGAGAATTAGGAAGTCAGAAACACTGGCCAAAAATGAGCCTCAAAACACCCAAAAAAACCAAGTCAGCAACTAGCCACGAGTGCAATGATGGAAGTTTGTCACTTTTTTAGTGTAAAACCTTGTTTGCCATATGAACGTCCTTCTAAGGTTTGTCCACAGTTGCGATTAATGAGCCTAATATGTTTGACTTGATCATTTTGTCCCACCCACTTTCATGTTCTGGACGAGGTCAGGTCAATACATACTATAGGCGAAGGAAAACAAATTTGATCAAGGATTGGATTTAGGAGTTTTCATGCGAGCCATATGCAATGAGAGTCACACACACGATAACAAGAAGGTTCGCGTTGTAAATCGCTACAAAAATCTAACTGATTAGTCTGTCTAGTTAAACTATATTTGATAGCTTTACCATCCTGCCTTATTTCACTGGACTTGTTATGGTTACAAGAAAAAAAAAACAAGCATCCTCGTTTTTCATCAACATTCAACCAAAGATGCCTTTTTTCAGAAAGTACCTGCGATTTGGAACTCACGTGCACCAAATTTGAATCAAGGAGCAAACAGAATCGTACGGCATTTACCCAAACTCCCAATTGTCTCCCGCATATCCAAGAGGAAACGGCTAGTCGTACCAATCAAGTATGAATTATATACTCTCCCCATCAATCAACTGAGCAAAATACACAAAGGGTACCATGATATTTCGAACATTGTGATGATGTACTTGTATATTAATCATATGAAAGACTAACAAACATATTTTTACCCAAAAATGGAAACTTTTTTCTTTTTCCTCTAATCTACAGCATATAGTTCTCCATGTGCCTCAAATAAAAAACCAGGGACGGTGACGACGATGGGTTCAGCTCAGATGTTACCATGTGACAGTGAATAGATACATCTTCAACACGACGGACAGGGCTAGCTGCAGCAGAAAGATCCCCGCAACGATCAAGAACCACCTCTCCCCTGCCGACATGATGTGGGCTCGGAGGTTCAGCGCGACGAATGATGCTGACATGAACCCTGCGACACCTGCAACTATCCACCGGAAGATCTCCAAGGGCACAATCGAGAGACACTGTGACAGCACATGAGAGACATGATCCGATTATTTTTCTCTTCTATAAAACCTCCATAGACTCGGGGGGGAATTTTAGTCATTTAACACATAACTCGAAAAATTTCATAGCATATGCCAAAAAAGAAGACCAACTAATCATTTCATAACCCATTCAGTTATTTTCATAATTTGTTCCAAACACATCCACTTCTACTATTTACTTCAGTCGACAACTTGGCCAATGAGAAAAAATTTGACTCACCAGTGTTGGGATGAAGATGAACAAAGAGTAGCCATAAAGACAGAAGAGCTGGACAAGGCCTGATGGTGCTGAAAAGTACTTGAGGATCACGTACAAAGCGAGAGGAACAAGAGTGACATATCCATAGAACAAACCGGCAGACCAAGTCACAACATTTATATCATAGTTCCATTCTTTCTTCTCGATCTTGTGTGCTACATAAGTCACAAATGTTCCGATTGAAGCTGCTACGAAAATTAGGGTTGTGCATATCCAGAATGGTCCGTACCTGCAGAACAGAAAGTTACAGGCACACAAGTAAAGTTCTTGCCACCTACTCCATAAGGAACATTCTGATGTTCGACATTGGAATGTTGCAAGCAACTTATAGACTTTTAGCATAGGAAAGTGTTGATGCCTCAAAGGGAGAAACAGAATAGTGAGAGCTGACTCACAAATCTGGGTTTTCAGCTGTTTTTTCGTTGAAGGAACCGTTGAATGGGAAAAGTGAATCTTTGATTCTCTCTAGAACATCTACAGTATCAACATCAAAATATGGCTTGTATGAAGCAACCGAGAACACCCGAAGCCAACCCCCTTGCTGCTGCGGTTCATCTGTACCATTGACTGGTTTTGAAAATGAATCTGTAAATATATAAAGTCATTCATTCTGCCTGACAAGATGATATAACAAACTCCATCGTGCTACAATCCACACATCCCAGGAAGTATCAACTTCCCAAGAAACTCAAAACGAAGCTATTTTCATGTTGGCAACAGACATAGTGGATAGCATACGGGTTGGAAGACCTCAAATGGCCCAAACTTAGCAAATCAATATAAATAGCAACTTGCGGCTATGATTATCCACACAATCTTCTCCTGAGTAATTGAGAAGAATTAATTATCAAAGACATCACTTCCCCTTGGCAAAAGCTTTTCCCCTACTCATTGCAAGTACTGAAGAATCCCAACTCGAATATAATGTGTCAAATTCCATGAAAATGGAGAATGCATGGACAGCAACAAAGCAAACTATTTCAGTTTAAGTTCAAAGCTCTCAAGTTCAGAAAGCCAGAGACTTCAGAGTTATTTTCAACAAGATTGATGGTTCAGTGACCCAAAACTGACCGTTTACTTGGAAAAGATTTGCATCCAATGAATTACACTACAGGATCCCAACTCAAATATAATCTCTACAATTACACAAAACATTTCCCGTTCTAGTTCAAAGTCCAAATATTCTAGTAAACCAGACTTCTGGCTAATTTCAGTACAGGTTGTGCTTCACTAACACATCACCAATCCTTTGTTCAAGATCTCAAAGGCCATAAAGCTAAGCAGAATTTCAACAAAGACTTACCATCAGCATCGCGCGGAGGCCTGGATCCACTACTGATCTTTCCCTGAGCGCCAGAGGGCGGAAAAGTTTGCAGATTCGACTCTACACATCAAACATTCAAATCAAATTGCTGAAGAAAACACAAAAACAGAAGGAATGAGAAAGACCCTCCATTCTCCCTCGATCCCTCTAAAATTCCATAATTCTGAACCCAGATTCATCACCGGGCCCGATTCAACCTCTCACATTTCTCATCTAATCTCTAAGAAATTTTCCCGCCACTGCCGATTCAGAAACGAAAATCGGAACGATTAAGTACCTGCGAACTGAACTGGAATGTGCCCTGGATCCGTAACCGCCTAGAGACGAATCGAATTGGAAAACAAAAAAAGATAAACCCAAGCAAGATTATCAGATCTGGAACTGTGAATTACGAAACGAATCGGATATCCGCGATAACTCCGGAAGGTAGGAGTGAAGAAGAGCTTTTTACTTACAGGTACAGATCCCGAGACCTTCTGATTTTCAATGTGAGTGTAGTTTCCGGACATCATCTTTCCTTCCCTTCTCTAATCTCCTCTCTCCCTCTCTCTCTCTCTCTCTCTGTGTTATCTCTTCTCGTTTTCTCGGAGAAGAAACAGATCTCCTATTCTCTTCGCTGCGGCGTTCGTTTTTATCGAATTTAATTTGATAATCATTGATTTATTTGAGAGAGTTAGTTCTCTTTTTTTTCAAATATTCTTTTTTCTTTTTGTTTTATTTTAACATGTTTGGCTACTGTCTACTAGTCTCGACTAGTGGTGGACCTAGAAATTTTTCATAGAGGTGTCCTCTTTTAAAAAATAAATTAAATAAATAAAATTGTAAATATAAAAATACCTTACTCGTACAGGTTAAAAAAAGTCCATGATGTGTTTTCATATTCGAAAATAATTGTAGAATACACTTGGTGTCTATAGTGTTAAAAAAATTGTCTCTATATACACTACTAGACAATCATTGACGAACTTATCGCATATTCGATTTGTAAACTTGTTCTTGATGTAACCCAAAGCTGAAAGCCTCTTTCAACACTTGTCGTACAATCATAAAATCAATACAAATTTAATTGTTAGGTTTTTAAAATAATTAGAGATAGGGAATGCCATTTTACTATTACACATTGTTCAAAATCGAACAACAAATGAGTTTAGCTCAACGGAAATTAAGTTTATTAATAATAATAGTGTTCTAGATTTGAATTATCCAACCTACCACTTATATTCCTATACACAAATGACAGTAGGATAATCATTTTTTCAAATTTAAGGGGTGTCCCTCACTATCAATTATATTTTTTTGTCTATACTTAAATTACCACCGGGGTTGGATAATCGTTTTCCCAAAATTTAGGACACCCCTAAACCACCCTGGGTCCGCCCCTGGTCTCGACCACGGCGGTTGATGAGTAGAGTCGAGCCGAGTTTTGCTTTGTTTAGATTTGCCTCGTTAATAAACGAGTCGAATTCAAGTTCGGCTCATTTACTAATGAATCGAGTTCAAGCCGACTCATTTATTCATTTATTAAATTCTTGGTTTATTATTAACGTTAGGAGTTCGGTTCTAGCTCAATTAGTAAAAGATAATTTATAAATTAAATATTGGAATTGTTCACACTTTCACTCTTGAATATCTGGAAATGGTACGAAAAGGAAAACCCAAAACAATGAATAATGCCCTAAAGGAACTGGCAATTCGCCCTTAGAACAATCAACATTATACAAATTCCAAACAATAAGCCTCGTGGGTTACAGAAATTGTAAGTTTCCCTCGTCAAATTATTCCGCTAACAATTAACAAACAAGAATTAACCCCCAAAACAAAGGGGTCTCAGTCTGAATGGAAAAAAGAGTAGAGTATTTATTCTCTAAAGCTGATTCCCAGCTCTGTGTGTGTCCGTTGATACTGAACCAGGAAAACTAAACTTGGATTGCTTCTGCCTTTCTCATAGAGCTACTGAATATGTACAGACCCATCAAACCTCCCTTGAAAGTTCATGGCATAATTCGTTCTTCCTCAGGCACTTTTTAGCCTGCCATTCTGAGCCAAGAGTGACCTCCTGATTGCAAGTAGAACAACCCAAGTTGTGGCAGCGATCTTCTCCTTGATCATCAGAAGCAAAGCTGAGCTCAGCACCGTCTTCAAGATCTGAGCTTGCAGTCCCTTGAAGAACCCCGTAATCCCTTCCTTCCGCCATACTGCAAACACGACCCCCGACAGCGTCTTGCTTGCCTTCCGTTTGGCTTTCTTGTTCTTATCGTCATCATCGTTACCATTCTCGTCGGTGTCTGCAGCTTGAATCACCACCTTACATCTGAAATAACAAAAGGTCTCAAGTTTACTTATTATTCCCTTCTCTCACACTGATCATGGATTTGAAACTGGAGTTTAGAGAAGAGGGTTCATAAGCACCTGATTGCTGGATAAGTTAAGCAGGTGGCGATGCTCTTCGACAATGCACCCAAGAGAAATGCTGTGAATGCAGAAAGGCTAGCTTCATTCCCCTTTAGAAGCTTTAGTTTGAGCTGATCAAACACTGTATACTACACACACAGAACAAGCAAGCCCAAGCTTTAGACTTAGAGAATTTATTCCTCTAGATTCACTTAGGGAACCTTTTGGTGTATAATTTTGTTAGATTTAAAGTCAGAATCCATTTATTACAATCTGCACTTAAACTCAAACATCCAAACAACACAAAATTGAATATCCAAGGTGTTACAGTCCATCCATCATCTTCCAAATCCATGAGTTTTGTTATAGTCCATCAGTTTTCAATTCAGCATTTCCAAAATCCAAATAACTCCTTTAAAGCTCCTTTATGGTACCGTACCAGTCACACGAACCTGAATTGCAGGGTTCGATGTCAGCAAGAGAGAGATACCGAGGCCATCGAATGCATTACTCCAGTCCCCTTCCGTCAGTGTGTCCCAAAGCCCTTTCGACTTGCCAAATGCACTGGTCTGCATCCTCGAGGCGGCAGTGTCTAATGGCTACAAATGCAACATAACAATCAAACCCAATAATACATAACGGAATCTGCTAGTCACATTCTCGTATGATGGAGGGACAGATTCACCTGTGTGGCAATGGCAGTGCATGCGCCTGCAGCAGCAGCAAGAAGCAAGTTTGCCTTGGTTCCAATCTTCTTGGAACCGCTCTTTTCGAGGTAAAGTCTCTTGAAGTAGCTGTATCCATAGAAGTAGACGAACTGCGAGATAAAGGACTGTAGGTTCTTCGTTCCTAAACCTTGGTATAGTGATAGGAATTGTCCATTTGACATTGCTTCCCATAGAACATCTGATAGATGCCTACACATAAGAACCATAAACGGACAAAATGAAAACCCACATAGCAACAAACTTCAACATCAAAATCAACTTCAAGGGTGGCAAAATCTCTAGATGTTCAATCATGATCGAAGAAGAATTGTATTCAAAGTAATAATTTACTAGAAGCAGCCAAACAACTGGATTTTCAGGGGAAATTCAATTCAACAGAGAGAGGAATGAGGATACAGCGAGCTAGTTGAAATGAACAAATCTCAAATTCTGTTCAGCTTTCTATTCACATAACAACGAGCTAGTTGAATTTCAATCGATCAAATCCCCAACACTAAGGAACAAACTAAAACCCAGAATCTTTCACCCAAAAACTCAAGAAACCGATGAAAGCAAAAGCACAGTTCTTTAATGGTTTCTACACCGTGAAGTCACTCCAGATAATCGGAATCGACCCAATTCGGGGAAATCGGAAACTAGACGGCAAGATCACGCCTTTCGAACCATAAAGAAGATTCAGACAGTGACGCCGCCACCCAGATCAACCAAAAAACGGAAAGAGAAAAAAAGAAAAGCAGAGAGAAATGGAGGGAGAGGAAGAGCCCCAACCTGTATCTCCGCTGGCCATGGGCGCGAGCCTCTGCCTGATACTTGGTCTTACAGGTATCAAGCGGGTACAAAATGGTGGTGCTGAGCAGCGATCCTATTGCTCCAGAAGTAGCTTCCGATAGAGATTCGAAATCAACGCCGCCCATCGCTGCCCTCTGTTTTCTTGGGTTCCCCAAAAAAATGAGATTAGGATTTTACAGCGGAAGGAAAGCTGATGAGGGGGTGCCGTTTTTTTGTTTGTAAATGTGGGAAATGGGGGAGAGAGAGAGAGAGGTTGGCAGGTGGAGGAAGGAAACCGCTGTTGCAGAGGTCCGGGATCATACGGTATGGGAGGCGAAAGAAAGTGATGGGAAGAGAGAAGAGAGTAACGGGGTTTTGGATTTTGTAATGAAAACGTGACCAACTCGTTCTACTATTCGTTTTCTCGTTTGGTTGTTGGCTTCGCCGTCCATAAAAAAAAAGGTTCTTAACGGCGGCAATCGGTTTCACAGTCACCTAGGTGGCCGGCGGCTGGGCGCGTTGACCTGTCTACCCGCCACTTCCCTGACTCGTTTTGGGCTTATTGGGCTCAGCAGCCCACAGTTCCTTACTATCCTTTTTTTTTATAAGCACGACGTCATCATCTTTTTGGGCATTGGAGTTTCAGCTTAAGCTTTAGCTCTCTTTCAGGTCTAGGCTGAAAATTGATCCGACCCGTTCTTGACTCTGTCTGATCGGTCTTTGGAGGCTCAAGATGTATAACTGACCCGTCTCGTCACGGTCTCCTTCTTGATCCTGTCTGACCTTAAGGGTTGAGATGGGTCGAATCGGGTCGTCCCTAATGAACACACTACTTTTTTTAGTATCCATTAATATTTTTTCTTACAATTTAGTATCCCATTTATTTTTTTACAAATAAACCATAAATTTTGATGGTAAAATTACGTTTTGGTACCTAACATTTTTTATTTTTACAATTTAGTACCTACAATTTACGTTTTGGTATGAGATATTTGTTGTTGCTAAGGATCACAGCCCACAGGGTCAAAAAGTGACCCGACCATAAATTGTCCCTACCCGTTCCGTCCCTTACAGGGTCAACAAATGACTCGTCCCTAATCTGACCCTGTAGACAAACTGACCCATCTCGACCCTCAGGGACGGGACGGGTTGGAACAGGTTGGTGAATCTTCCAGGTCAAGCTTAGACCCAGAAGCTTGGGTTGGGGGCGAAGAAGGTTAGAACTTAGAGCACCTTTGACACGTCTCTATTATGCAATTTCTTCACTAGCTTGATCTAAGGGGTGAGCATTCGTTCGAAACCAAACATAAAACAAATCCAATTAAGACACAAAATATTGAACACTAACTAAATGTTGCATAAATGAAATTTTTCATTTTTATCTTGATGAGTAATACTCCTCTACGATGGCGATCATTCTCTCTTGTGGTGGAATCACGGCGTGAGGGATAGAGGAAACAGAGGATTGGAAGAGGGCGGAGGTTGACAAGGACAAGAAGCGGATGGTCATACCACCGTATACTGTAGGGGACAGCAAAGAACAACATTGAGCTAAGAGCTCAGGAGTGGAAAGCAGGGAGTATGGCCCGACGAGCATTTGAGCCGTCCCTACAACTAAGTTGTACGATTCTGATAAGAGCAACTATCCCCATGCGTCTGTTGTAGAACTCACTAACTCTTTTTTGTTCACGAAACTCGTCTATCATCCGTGAGGGGATCATAGTGCCAAATCTGGGAATTACATGCCCAACTTGGTCACTCTCGTACGGGACATCAAATCGATTCAAAAACGAATCCACGATTCCACGTACAATAACAAAAACGGTACATGAACCATGGTAAATCCGTAATAAAACCAGGTAGATTTAAGCACGTGTAGACTTTACAATATGATCCCCGCTATAGCATGATATCACAAATCCAGCTTATATCTAGTTTAGACTCTCATCCATCCAACATGCTTCCCTAAACAGTAAAAAAAAAAAGGAGAGAAGTGGAGTTTGAAAAGAAAACAGTGAATAGATAACAGGGGTATCCTGAAAGTGTGAATAACAAACAAGTCTACTATTTCGTTTCATTGAAGACCCCCCGGGTGTAATGAGCTAAAAGGCATGTGTATTAACAAGCCCCACCATCATTAATATCACATATCAATGCTCAGCAGCAGCAAGCACTAAAAGCTCTATCAAGCATTCAACCACTTCCACAATATGATTAACCAGTTTGCTCACAGTTCCAATTCCAATCACATTCGATGGCTAGCTCGCCGTATCTATCCCGCTCAGGTGGTCACTTGGCAGAAACCACCCATGGGCTCCATCAAAGACTACAAGACTAGTACAAAACCCATAAAAATGCATCTGGCAAGTATTCTGTTCATTCAAGCAACAAGGAAATGTCTAACCTTCAAAACACGAGCCACTACCGGTTGATGAAAGCCTCTGCTATTCTCGGTTAATGAAACTCCTTTCTCTCCAGGAGAGGTTTACGACTCTCCAGATGGTACAGCAGAGTGCTTACAACATTTGCCACGGCACCTAAAAAGAAGAAAGATAACGTGGCAAATTATTAGTAGAGTATGAAGCTCATACTTAACAGAGAGAAAGATAACGTGGCAAAGATAACACCAAGAAAAAACTGCAGCAGGATAAGAGAGCATATAATAGAGCACAACATGGTAAAAAAAAAAAAAGTCTAGAAGAAGTCACTCTTTAGACATCCATCATTTGAATGACAAACCAGAATCAGGTAATATAACACACCAAACAGGAAACCTTCCGAGCTCCACACAGAACTGTCAGAAGTAAATAGTTTACGGAAAGTACTTCAAGATGAAATCAATTACCACAAAGTCTAGTGAGTAAAGATTGTGTCATTTCTTCTAGGAGGCCTATCAGGAATCGACCCAGGCTTGAACTTCGAAGCTTCATGTTTAGCCAATTCTGGAGGCACAGCACTATTACTTTGCACAAGCATCTGCTTCAAGTCATAGAACACATCAGTATCCTGAAAAGTCAAGAACGTTGTCGCAATACCAGTCTTTCCAGCACGCCCAGTACGTCCAATACGATGAGTGTACATCTCAATATTCCCCGGCATGTCATAATTGATCACATGAGCCACGTCAGGAATATCGATACCACGACCAGCAACATCTGTAGCAACCAAGACATTGTACCTCTTTGTTCTAAAACCCTCTAGACTAATCTCTCTCTGCTCCTGAGACTTCCCTCCGTGCAGAGTAGTAACACGATACCCATTCTTGTCTAGATTCTTGGCAAGGAAATCTGCATTCTTTTTTGTATTAACAAACACAATTGCTGTCTTATCTGCCAGCTCATCGAGCAGCCTCTGTAGCCTAGAGAACTTCTCTGATTCCTTCACCATCATCACATGCTGGGAGATCAAGTCGGTTGTTTTTCCAGCTGTACCAATTGTGACCACAACAGGATTCCTGAGATACTTTCTGGCTAAACGCTCAACAGCCGGCGGCATAGTAGCACTGAACATATAAGTGGTACGGTAGATTTTCTTCTCATCAAGTTCTTCATCTTCATTCTCAGGTTTCAAGTTGCTGGAAGGCATTGCATCGAGTACCCCCATAACTTGGGGTTCAAAACCCATGTCTATCATTCGATCAGCTTCGTCAAGAACTACATAATTGCATTGATTCAAGACAGCATAACGCCTATCTAGACAATCAAGCAAACGACCTGGAGTTGCTATTACTACTTCACATCCTTGCCTAATCCTGAGCCCTTGCTCCTCTATAGACTGCCCACCAACAATTGAAACCACATTGATACCTAAATAATGAGCAAACTTCACTGTTTCATCCTCAATCTGCTGAGCTAGTTCACGGGTTGGTGCCATAACAACAGCATACGGTCCCTCTGCTTCATTATCCTCACTCATTGGAGGCAATCTAGAGATGTAAGTCAACATGGGGAGAACAAAAGCAGCCGTCTTACCAGAACCAGTCTCGGCAATACCGATTACATCTCGCTGGCGCATACCAAGTGGAATGGCAGCCATTTGAATCGGTGAAGGTTTCTTGTATCCAGCTCTCTCAACAGCTTTCAAGAGCTCTGGACTCAGCTTGCTCTCCATCCAGCTCCTCATAGGGCGAGGAATCTTGGAACCCTTGTAGGAAATGTTGAAATCTTCTCTGAAAATCCTCCAATCTCTCTCGGTCATCTCTTCCAGCTTCTTCTCAGACCAATGCCTATCCACTCTCATGTCGAAAGTATCATACATCTCAGCAGCTTCTTCCTTCAACCTCTGTGCAGCTGCTTCCTCCGGCTTCTCCTCGATGCCTTCCTTCTTCCGAATTTCATCCCTCATCTCCTTCTCGTTCTTGGCAGCCAGCTTCTTCTGTTCCCTTCGGTCAATCCCGGCGCGAAACCCTCGGCCAAACAACAGCTGCGCCTCGTGAGGGTTCTGGTAGAGAACATTCATGTCCCGCGAAGTGTCCTCCGTGTTCTCCCAATCGAACGAGAATCGGAACTTCTCGCTCGGCTTGATCACTCGCTTCTTAGGTTTCTTCGACCCGAGATACTGCTCTTTGATGGAATCGAGCTCCTTTTCCCTTTCTCGCTCAGCCAGTTTCTCCAATCGAGCTCGCTCCCGAGCTTTAGCTTCTTCTTCCCGCTCTCGCTCCCTGTCTCGCCGCGACGAAACCCTATCCCTATCCCTCTCGCGCTCCCTTTCCCTTTCTCTTTCCCTTTCCCTGTCTCTATCCCTATCCCTATCCCGGTCTCGATCTCGGTCTCGGTCTCGGTCACGGTCTCTTTCACGGTCTCTATCTCTGTCTCTGTCTCTATCTCGGTCGCGGCGGTCGGAGTCGGCAGAGACGGGCTTCAGGCTGTTCGCTTCGGCGAGAAGCTGTTCCTGGCGCTTCTTCTGCAGCTCGTTTTCCTCTTGGCGACGCTGGATGGCTAACTTCTCCCTCTCGGCTTTCGTTAAGAAGACAGGCTTCTTGCCGTTGTCCATGGCGGCCGCCGTGACCGGAGCTCAGTTGTCTCGAAGAAAAGTTTTCAGTGATGTCAAGGGGAAAGAGCTGCGAGAAATTGCAAATCCAATCCCTTGCGAAAGGGGCGCTGGCCAAATGCCTGTTTTGAGAAAACACGCAATAGCGAAAAAAAAGTAATGTCTATTTATTAGTGTTATTAAAGCTAAGCAGAGCGGTTCGGCCCGATTGGTAAAACCGTCACCCGGTTATAAAATTGGTTCAGAAGAGTTTAAAACTTAAAAGCCGCTCTTATTTTATGTAGCGGTTGGCGAGCGGCCGAGGCGGTTAACCGCTCGAGCCGATCGAGCCGCTTGTTCGATTTTTGTCATTCAGCCGTTAAATTTAATTAAAAAAATTGTACAAAATTAAAAATTGAAATAAACCAAAAACGTCGGGCTCTCAAACTGAATCCTTATTTCCATTTCACAATTTTGAAGGAAAGAGATGAGCTCTGATTAAGAAATATCCACTATTTATACTGATAACGTTTATTAGGTACCGATTTTTTAACGATTTTTAAACGGTCTATTGCCGGTTGGACCACTAAAGTGCGAATCGTTCGCATTACCGGGTCATGCTCCGGTTCGATTCTGACAACATTGCTATTTATTAACCAAATCTTTTTCACTTTTTTTTTAATTAAACCTATTGAAATACTAATAAAATTAAACGTTACTTTCCGTAGTCATTTTTGTTAGTAATGCTGACTAAGCATGACGATGTTGAGTTGGCTTCCCACGTGACAGTCGGAATACCACCATTTTTTATTTTTTAGCTAAAAAGTTTATCAAAGACTTAATAAAAATAATCGCCAGCAGCGCCCAATCATCACCGACGGTCATATCTCTCATCGTAATTGGTCGGAATCGGCATCTTCTTCAGGCGCCGGTCACTTCCTCCGATCACCATCAGCTTTCGCGCCGACATCGTCGTCCTCTCCAAGCGCCGGTCACTTCCTCTATCACTAATCATCGTCTTTCGTCCTCTTTATAAGTCCAAATCGAAAACCCCTCTTCTGCTTTTCATTTTATAAGTTACAGATCTAGATTCCCGATCTATAAAGTCTCCTCTCTGACGGGGAGAAAGAGAATCCTCCAATCCTCCAATAATATATAGTAGAGTTTTGTGAACTTTTCTCCATTTGAACTGGTAGGCTATTATTTCCTTCCCAATTTATCTAAGTTTGTTTTTTTATAATGTTGATAAATTGCTTAAAATAAAAAGAGAAACCAAATACAGAGCAATCAAGCTCGAGTTCAGAAGAACAGGGGAAGTTGTGCTTTCTTAGCGCCCTGTCTACATTTTTTGTAGTTTGTTTTCTATACTTTATTTTTGTTCTTTGCTTAGCTATTGAAATAATAAAATAACATCAAAATTCGAAAAAAGGTTTCTTTTCAATTACAATATTTCCGCTCATGTGTTGATTTTGTCATAACTAATGTTATCAGCAACCATAATTTTCCTCATTAATTTTTATTCTTATGGTCCAACTCACTAATCAAATTTTGATATTGTTTTAGAATTAGTTAGAAATTGAGCTTTCATGCTACACTCTAGGAGTTGGGGGTGTTGAACTTGGAGTAGAAGAGTTGGGATTGAGTTTGAGAATGGAAGTGGTAGGGAAAGAAAAAATCAACTGCAGCAGGTTAAGGTAGAGAAGAGGTAGTTGCTGAGGGTAGTGATCGAATTGAGAAGGGTATTGAAAGACGGAGAAGCAAAACTAGAGCAGTTGAAGAGACAGAAGTGAGAGATGATGAGGATATTAATGTAAATGGAGAGGGTACTAAAGGACATGGAGTGTATTGAAGTAGGTGAAGGGCATCAGATTATTTATGAAAAAAAAATCTTAACAAATAAGAAAAATAATTTTCTTAACAAAAATCTTCTTCCCCAGCACTTCCGCCTTCCTCCGTCGAATCCGACCCTTCGATTTGCTCGGACGCTTGTGATTCAGATCAGAACCCAACTCCGCCTGCTTCTCACTCCTACCCATCAACCGCTTCTCGGTCTCCCTCTACTCCCCCCCTTCGCCTCCGGCGGCCAAATTAAGAAAACAAAACCCACCCTCAAATAACCTCCCTCGACATCACCGCTACACTCTCGCCGAACTTTGCATAGTTCGTTGAGGAGCTGCCGCCTGGTTCATCCTTAAATCCATGGATGGCCACGACAACAACATCCCCAAGAGCTTCGCATTTCAGAAATTGGTAGGGGAGAGGTTCATGGATCTCTCGTCGGTTAGATCTGACGATTTACTTTACCTCGCGTGGATCCGGAAGCTGCTCGATGCTTTCCTCTATTGCCGGGAGAGAAATTGATTGGTCCTTCTTCTTCTTTAATTCGCCGCTTTTTTTGTTTGTTTCCCCCTTTCGTTTTTTAATCGAATGGCACGAAGCATTCGATGGAGGGGGAAGGGGCGGCGGCGGCGACAGAGGAGAAGAATGGAGGAGGTGGGGGAGGTGGCGGGAGGAGCATCGACAGTGTGTTGCTTCTACTCGAAGGAGGGGCAGCGGCATCGACGGAAGGCGAAGAAGCAGCGGTTGCGCAAGAAGTAGCAGGAGAATTTGGGATTTGGTTTCTTTTTTTTTTTAATTTCAAAATGATATTTTTGTGTTGGGGGTAGGGGATTAGTGGGACGAGGGATAGTGAGATAGTTTTGTATTTTAATGATTTTCTTTTATTAATTTTAGATGAAAAATAGATAATAATTAAGGCTAAATTACACGTTTGGTCACTCAAATTATACAAATCTTTCACGTTTGCCACCCGAATTACTTTTCTTTCTTATTCACCACTAACTTTACGAATCGTTTCACGGTTGGTCACCGGCCGTTACACTCCGTTAAGTTTGTCCTACGTGGCAGTCAACTATAAAGTTTGACCGTTAACTAGATGACGTGGAAATTAAAAAATAAAAAATAAAAAAAATTCATTTCCACCTCATCATTGCATCGAATCCGCATCTCTTCAGACCCTATTACTATTGATATGGCCGGACCCAGAGCCAGAAAAGGATGAGACGAGCTACCTGCGGAGGCTCTGCCGATCCTTCCTCCCGCCATGGCTAAATCCTCGCTGTGACCAACCAACCGCCGCACCAATTGATACGATCTAAATCTCACTTCGACCCTTCCCCAATGTTGTGCTCAGTCCCCGACGGGAAGCCCAGTTCAAATTGGCTGGACCGACTCCGATCCACCAGAGGCTTCCCCACCTCCGGCGACGTCGGATTAGACGACTTCCTTCTCACCAAACCCACCGCCGACGAAGACGCTTCCAATTCCCCTACATCCGATGATGCTATCGCCTCCAATTCCCTCGTCAATTCCAACTCCGTCGTGGAGCAAGCCCCCAAGATTTCCGGCCGAAATGGTGAAGGGGACTGGTTCGGCGTGATGACCAATGTCCTCTCCGATCTCTTCTACATGGGCAGACCCACCGGAATAACCAGGAATAAGGGCGCCAGGAAGCAGACGAACCCTAAGTTTCGCACCCTTCTTGCCTCGCCTGCGCTGCGGGGCGACGAGAAGGCGGCGGGTGTGACGAAGGCTTCGCTCAATTCCAACCGCAATTCGAACATTGTACGGTCTAAGCGCGGATGGCGTGGATGAGGAGAAGGATAAGGACGAGTGCAGTTGTGGCGACGGTGAAGGGTGTGGAGGGGATAGAGAGCTGAAAGGGTACTCGCGGAGTGAAGTGACGGTGATTGATAGCAGCTACGAGGTGTGGAAGTTTGACAAGCTGGTGTTCAGGAAGAGGAACATTTGGAAAGTGAGGGACAAGAAGGGCAAGTCGTGGGTGTCTGCTGCTGCGAAGAAGAAGAGAAAGAAGGGGAGTGGTGGGCTGGAAAGAAAATTATTAATATGATAAATTATATAGACAAAATAAGTACAATGATGAGGTGGAAAGAATTTTTTTTAATTTTTTAATTTCCACGTCATCTAGTTAACAGTCAAACTTTATAGTTGACTGCCACGTAGGACAAACTTAACGGAGTGTAACGGCCGGTGACCAACCGTGAAACGATTTATAAAGTTAGTGGCGAATAAGAAAGAAAAGTAATTCGGGTGGCAAACGTGAAAGATTTGTATAATTTGAGTGACTAAACGTGTAATTTAGCCTAATAATTAATATTCTAAATTCCACCTCAGATGCCACATCAGTGCTGACTAGAATTTCTGTTAAAAATTAACGGTTAACGCCGGTCAACTTTAACAAACAAATAGTTTAGGACACAAATGTCATATTGGATAGTTTAGAACACAAATGACACATTCTTAATAGTTCGGGTTTCCTAGTGGTATTAACCCTATTAATTACAACAAAACATGTATATCAATCACTAGAATTAAAGGTAACAATTCTCAATACAATCCACCAATCCAATCCATCCACTTAAATATCCAAGTAATCCAATCCATTTAAATCTAATCCATTTGATCCAAATCCAATTGGATTGGTGGATTCATGGATTGATCCATGGATCCAAATGGCAAATTATGTTTTAGTACCTAATCTTTTTATATTTTACATTTCGGTACCTAAAATTTATATTTATATGAAAATGTCATTGAAAATTACGTTTTGGCACCTAAAATTTTAATTATGACATTTTAGTACCTAGACTTTTCAAAATTTACAATTTGGTCCAAGGTTTGGATGTAATATGGATCCATGGATCAATCAACTAATCCATATGCTCCAAACCATCAATCCACTATTCCATAAAATCTCTTTGATGCAAGTAATCATAGGATTAATACCCATGTTATAAAAATATGTACAACACATAACATTATATTTTTATTTAATGGCTGACTTCTGTACATTATACAACAAAAACTATCACGGTTAAAATTTTGTATTCTATTTTTCAGCAATAATGGAAACCATTAACAACTACGAATAACCAATTTTAATTTTTAGTTTATAATATGTTTGATATTTTTTTAATAATTAAAAAATCCAAAAAGCATGATTTAGTTGGTACACATTTATAAACTCTTACATAATTCGACATGTGATTTTATTTTAAAAATGAAAAATGAAAAATCAAAGAATAACCTTCCGTTAGAAAATAACTACTATAAATATTTGAACTTATACACTCTTATCACGATGAACAAAAAATAACAATTTTTTGTGTGCTTACTAGAATATTCGTAAAAATAATGGTTTGTTAAGTCAAAACCATAGTCATAATAACCTATTCATGTAAGAATATCACGAGACACCAATGGTCATCAACATAATTCAGTCATATGCTATAATGATACACAACAATTTCATGTGTTTAAGAATATCACGAGACACCAATGGTCACTAATTTTTTTTGTATCTAGCGAATTATGGTTATATGGCTTAAATATGTTCGTTCCCAATTGGTACATTTCACGCATATTAAAATGATATCATTATCTTTTCTTTTATACTATTCCAATTTCTTTCTTTTATTATTTTTATACGTGATTAGATTTTCTTCCATGCGCAATTATAAAACACATTATCTTTACTTTTTTCCTGGTGTACTTATAATTCAGTTATTTTCTCTTTTTTATTGGTTGACATAAGCTCCTTTCTTTTTCCTACATGAGTGTAGATGTGCAACTTTGAGACATGTTCAGATGTATAGCACCTAAATTAAGCAAGATTTCTAAACGAATCTTAAGCTATTGGATATATATAATGGTTGAGATGTAAATAATTATTTAAATCCTTACTTAATGTGACACCCTAATACATATATTACTATTGGTGGCTTCCATCATACCTTAGTTATAATCTAGGATATACCCTGAGTAAGAAAATGCTATTAGATCTCGAATTAATCAGATTTTTGGGCATGATACTATACTCTAACCCTTGATGAGTGAACCCTAGGTCTTAGATACCTAAATAATAGAGCCTAACCCCTAAGATTGTGCACGTAATTTTTGCATATATTTCGACGAATCATGACCGTCGAATTTTATTTGTAATTAAATTGATCTTAGTGTATGAGATTTTTATAGAATCAAGACCTAGATTTTAATCTTTAACGGTTTGGGAATAGTACCTGATGCCAAACTCCGGTCAATTCAAGGTCTAGATATCATTTTCTTACTACTCAATGTATGTCATACCTTTGATTTTACCCAAGGTACTTTAGAACCACCCATTACTATTACTATTTTTAGTAATCAGTTATACTAGCCGGATAACCCCACTCATAAGATACACCCGATGTTCTATATCTCATTCAGTCAAATAAACATCCATTCATCATCACATGCCATAAACATGCATCATCTCAAGCTCAAGGAATTCATATATTCACAACATAAGGACCATCAAACAGTCTCTTGATAACTCATTGTATAAATATGTATTCACCAAGTATCACATTATAATGGCATCACCATGTAACCCTGTCCCAACATAACGAAATATCACACCATCTAATGGTAAATCATTGTATAAAACACTATAGAAAACCATCATTTAACCATCATCATGACATGCAAATTTCGTATATCACATCATAGGAAGTTATCACTTAACCACATCATATGTAATCTATATACAAGGATTTAATCACATACATGGTTTGGTTGATTCAGTGTCCCTTTACTTCTTAATTTGCCAAGTCATACACTTCCCAGGTAGTATACTAGATGTCCTGTATACCACCACGGATCGTACCTATATTGGTGTCCTGTAAATCCAGTGCGGGATCATACCCTAACTGATATCCTATATAACATCACTAGACGTATCCGGACCAATGTCCTGTAAAACCAATGTGGGATCGTACATTGACCGATGTCCTGATTGCACAACAGAGCGCCTTTATATTTGTATTAAGTTATCAAACAATTCCAGTTACAGTCAGTCACACAGTTAATATTGGGTGATAATGAGAGAAGAAGCCAAAGTGTCTCTATAAATAACATTTTGTTTTGATATTATTCATAAAATGTTAAAGGTAATATAGAAAAATAGCAGCATAGTTTGGTTGTAGTTTAATATAATGGTGGAAAAGGCTAGCGAACACTCGAGGTGTAATATACACCTTCGTTCACATCTATTAGTTATACTTTAATATATTTTGTCAAATAAGAATCGTTGGTTACGATTTTGCATTAAATGAATAGTATGATTTGGATTAGAGAATTAGAGACTGAAGTTCACCCATTAGATACTATGGTATAGTATCATGTCCAAACTCCATTAATACATGGTCTAAATAGCAAAACTCGATAGAAGTACGGTAAGGTGGCGTACGCTAGTTTAAACCACGTACAACTTATGAAGTTGAAAATGGTTTGTGAATCAAAGATCAGATGGTCATGAAAACTATTTTCCAAGCGGTGATGAAGTTACAACGTTGTTTGGCATTATTGTTCATCATGATTAAAACCTGGATCATATTAGATGAAACACAGATAATAGATAACAATTCATATATATATATATAGCTAAAGTGAGTTTACTGTAGCATAAAATATTACAATTTGATACCCCAAATGTAATTAAATTACAACTTAATCACTATAATGTACATTTTACATTTTGATACCTCAAATTCAAATTTAATTAACTTACAATTGATACCCCAAATTTAATTAAATCACAACTTAGTCACTATAATGTAAATTTTACATTTTGATACCTCAAACCCAAATTTAATTAAATTAAACCTTGGTCATTATAATGTACATTTTAAATTTTGATACCTCAACTAAAAAAATTGATCAAGAACCTTCCATTATCTACTTCCTCTTCGTTTCATTTTTCACTCGCCGTCCATAACCCTGCTTTATTTTTTTTCTTTGCCTTCGTCGTCTAACCCAAATCAGTATACTATTTATATGTATTCTAATCTCAAGTATGAATGAGTCCATACAGGACTGACCAACAATATAGAGAATTAATAATTAAACCATGAACCACTAACTTTTTTAGCTCAATGTCGAGTCCAATTAAAAATAAACATATATGGTCATTACTTATTAGAAATTAGTCATTTCCACTATGGGATTTGAAGGCGTGAATTTTTAAGCGAATTCCAGTTTGTATTCCTTTTGATTCTCTCTAGAGTTTTTCTTTTCACCCGGGCTAGAATTTTCAAAAATTATACATGAAATTTTCAACAATTATACATATAAAATAAATAGTTTCCTATTTTCTATCAAAAAGTAAATAATTATCATCTTAAATACATCACCATAAAAGAAATCACCCCTCAACCATGTAAATTATAGTTTGGTACCTAAACTTAATAAATCATTTGTTTTGCATATAAGTCCTCAAAATATTGATGGAACATTACATTTTAGTACCTAAATTTATTGTGTATTATATTTTAGTACATAAACTTTTGAAGTTCTGCAAATAGGTCTAATTTTTGTATGTGTAATTAAAACACACTCAAATAAATGGGTATCCATACCCAACTCATACACATTTATATTATAAAAGTAAATATTCATACCCTACCCAAACCCATCTACAAACTTCCAAACCCATATATACGTCACTCATACCTTACTCATAATCAATTGGTCTACTTGGATTTAGGTAAATATCATGTATTAGCAAAAAAATAAAAAAAAAAATAATGTGATGTTGACCGTCATATATCTCTTCTCAGTCAATATCATATTGTTAAGTCAATATTACTAACAAAACTGCTAACAAGAAATTAATTTTAGACTAATAACACTAACAAAACACTATAACGGACCACATAATACATGCACATACGCCATCTCCGCCCCGCAATAAGGGGCGACATCGCCGCCTAATAATAAATAAATATGAAAAGTAAGAATCCGATACCATTAAAAAAATTACAGATAATATAAGAAAAAGTACACACAGATGAAACTCGCTGCCCATCAGGTAGGGACAAAACTAGTTAGTGGGTGATAGTCGATAGATGATGTGATGGACTGAGTTTTCTTCTCTTTCAATGAAATATATTCTCTTTAATGGAATACATGTTTTTAACCTTTTATCTACTAATTTACTTTTAACTTGTGGATCATTATCATATCTCCGGTACAAATATAATAATATAATAATGACACTTTCTCTACGCTCTCAAATATTGAATTTTTCTAAATTTGACGCTCTCACGCTCCCTCACTTACTGCCGCTCCCGCAACTACTAAATACTAATATATTGAATTGTCCATTTTTATTAAATTTTTTTTTCTGTAAATCAGTAATGCGATGTATACATATATGGTAGATTTTATCTTATATATATTAGTTATACATTATCTTATATACCATTATCGGCTATGGGGATGGGTTAGGGTGTCAACTCATTTTCAAGTTGTCACCGTGGCTACTTAGAGATCGGCCATCCATATCCTGTGCCACCCATCTTGTGGCCCAGATTTTTCAAGGGCAAATTCGGGAGCTGCACACAGGATCAAAACCCATCATACGTCAATTACGCTAGGCCTCCTCGTATTTCGCCCGTCCCTTCTCTCTCCTTCTTCAATCTCCCTGCAGGCAACTCCGCAATGACCGCCGTTCTGCATCCACTTCCCCCCAACATCAGAAGAGAAACTGGCGTAGCCCCGTTTGCAGACGATCACTTCAGCCGGCGAACCCACGACGTCTTCACTCGCCGGCGGAGTCCACCCTCTCCATCTCTCTATCTCCTCGTCTACCCATCGCTATCTCCCTCTGTTCCATCTCTCTCTCTCTCTATCTATCTCCTCGTCTACCCATCGCTATCAACCAAGAACCGAATGAGGCCTGCCAGGTCCTGCCGGAAGAGGCTTTGGAGATACTAGGGGTGATAGCGGGATGCAAGGTGAAAAGAATGTTGGTGGACACCGGCAGCTCGATGGATGTCCTATTCAAAAGCACGTTTGAGCGCATGCAATTGGCGCCCGAGTTGGTGAGAACCTCAAGCTCCATGTTAATTGGGTTCTCAGGGGGCGCCCACCCAAGTCATCGGGCGCGTGCGCTTACCCGTGACCCTCGGTGATGAAGCACATTGCGTGACGCATGCAGTAGAATTTGGAATCGTGGATTGCCCATCATCGTACAATGTGATACTTGGCCGACCACTCTTGGCACAATTCAATGGAGTGGCTTCCACTTGCCACCAAACGTTGAAGTTTGTGGCGCCACAAGGCATAGGCATCTCGCGGGGGAGGAATGTTCCAAGATATGCACGAGAGGAGGAACCAAGATGTCGCGTCCGAAAACATAGGCTAAACACCATCAACATTCGCCCAGAGGAGGCGCCCCGAGCAGAGTCTGTGGATGATGAGTTAGTTGGGCGATAGATGAAGGGCGCCCAGAGCGACAAGTGCGAATATCCGCGCAAGCCGCTAAAGTCATGAAGGCGCCTTTGATAGAATTGTTGTGAGATTTTGGGGAGCTGTTTGCCTGGAGCGCGCAAGACATGCCTGGTGTGTCCCCTGAGACAGCGGGGCAAAGGCTCGCCGTGAAGGAGAGCAAAAAGTCTGTCCAACAAAATTGCTGAAACTTATCCCCCGAAAAAGAGGAGGCGATCCGTCGTGAAGTTGATAGATTACTCGAGGTAGGATTCGTGGAGGAAGCAAGGTACATCACGTGGCTTTCGAATGTCGTGTTTGTCCCAAAGCCGTCGGGAGACTAGAGAATGTGTGTGTACTTCACTAACCTCAACCGGGCGTGTCCTACGGAAGCATACCCTATGCCACACATCGATTTTCTCGTAGATGCGACAACATATCATGAGGCGCTTAGTTTCCGCGACATGTTCTCAGGCTACCATCAGATCCCCATGGTGGAGGAAGATAGGGCGAAGACGACCTTCATGACACCCTTTGGTAACTTCTGTTACAGAGTGATGACGTTTGGGTTAAAGAACGCAGGAGCCACGTACCAGCGCATGGTAAACCAGGTTTTCCGCAAGCAACTAAGGAGGAATGTAGAAGCATACGTGGATGATTTGATCGTAAAAAGAAAGAGGCGCCGGGACCACATCATGAACTTGCGAGAAACTTTTGAGACGATGCGCCACTTCAGGTTAAGGCTTAACCCTAAAAAGTGCGTATTCTTGGCAGAGGTAGGGAAATTCTTGGGATTCATGATAACGAAGCGGGGAATTGAAGCCTACCCCAAAAAAATCGAGGCAATCATGAGCTTGGCTCCCCCCTCGAACGCTGAAGGAGGTACAAGGATTAACGGGAAGTTTAGCGGCCCTTCGGCGCTTCATTGCGAGGGCCTCTGGAGATGCGAGGGCTTCATTACGGAAGTGAAGTTGTTTTGTCAGTGGAGATGCGAGTCCCAACCTTCAGGATGACCCGCCGAGACGAGTCAATGGATGCCCAGGAGCGAATTGATGAGTTAGACATATTTGATGAGAGTCGAGAGGCAGCCGCTCTATGCTTGGCAGCAATGAAGAGTCAGGTGGCAAGGTACTACAATAAAAAATGCATGCACACAACATTGCGGTGGGCAGCCTTGTGTTAAAACGAGATTTCCGCCCCAAGGCCACAGAAGGGAAGTTGGCCCCAAAGTGGAAAGGACCATATCGTATTCAAGAAGTCATTGGCCCAAATACGTTCAAGCTAGAACACCTGTCGGGCAAGAAAGTGAAGAGGACTTGGAACGCCCAAAATTTGCGACGGTACGAAGTAGGGGAGGCAAGTATGACATGTAATGATGTGGAGGTCAAAATTGGTACCTTATCAGGCGCAGAAGAACAGGCGCCCACTTGCGAGTAGAAGCACAAGGCAAGTTGTTTCCGTGAAGGGCTTCTTTTGGTTAGTAGGTTTTTGTTGAATTTTCAAAAGCGCCCTTATGCGTCGTAGGATTAAAGCGCCCTTTATGCGTCCTTTATTTTGTAAAGCGCCCCACTTGCGCCCGCTCCATGTAAAGCGCCCTAATTTTGTGCCCATACTTTTCAGAATCAGATTAATTATCTATGAAATTTGGTATCGAGGAAGTGTGAACCTAGCACCCACCCTATTGCGCCCAATATAGCGCCCACCCCATTGCGCCCAGCATAGCGCCAACCTTATTGCGCCCATTACTTAAGAAAACTTGCACTTGATGGGTACCACAGGCAAACGAGACGCCCAACATAGCGCCACATACCTCTGCGGGCGCCCATCACCTTACGCCCAACAGGGCGTCCAAAAGGTGTCTAATCAAGCAAAAGGAAGAAAGTGACAAACATGGTTTGGTCAAAACATAAGGCAAAAGGAATTGTTTATTAGGCGCCTCAATAATACATAGTTCAAAAGCAAGCCAGAGTAGAGGAACTTATTGGGCGCCTAAAACTACTCAATTGTACATAGACCAAACATAAGGCAAATTATGAAAATGTACATGTCTTATGCACTACTCAACTGACCCACTCTCGGAGTCAGAAGCAGAGCCATCATCGCCATCACCATCAGGCGCCTCGTCCACCATAGGGGGCCCACTCTCCATGTAGGATATGACGAACTCCACCATGGGTTGGACGTCCCAATTGATGTCGGGATGCTCAGACGCTAGCTTCTTTTGCAAAATCAGAATACTATTCAAGACAGCGTCAGCCTTGAGCGCCTGGCCAGCACTAGACTTTGCGAAGTCCGTGGATTGCGCCTCGAGCACCTCCTTTTCCGTCTCAAGCGCCTGCTTCTCTTCCCAAAGCACCTGAATCTCCGCCAAGTGTTTTTTATTCTCCAGGCCCAAGTTCTTATTATCTTTCTTTAGGGCGCCCTTCTCCTGTTTAAGGAGATCGATCTCACTCCTATAGGTGCCCGACTCATTCTCTAGGTCAAGCTTCTCCTTCTCTAGCCTAACATTTGTCTCCTGTTGTGCCCTCTTCTCATCTTTGATTTGCGCCTCATATTCCTCGCGCAGCCGCTTCTCCTCGTCAATCGTTTGTTGCATGAGTGAAGCGCTCTTCGCGGCCTCAAATTGTGCATCTTTGCACATTTTGACAAGCTCCTCTTGGCGCCTCTGGGTCGTCTCGAGGTTGTCTTGTGCCACGCCGAGTGAGGTGGTAGCTTCATTGGCCGCAGCGTGCAGTGTTTCGCGCTCCATTATCCCTTTTTTGGCCACGAGCATCATCTGCAAAAGTGGTGGAACAGTTTGAAATGGTCAGGCGTTTGGCGGCCTCTAAACAAAGATGGTAATTAAAAAACATAAGGAAAAATACTTACATGGGCGTTTATCCGAGCCACCTCACCCCAAGGATCAGCACCGTCCAAGTCCAGGGGCACCCGAAGCACATCACCTACAGCTAGAACCATGTGGAGGGCGGCGCCTCGTTCCAGCGTAGATCTGTCAGAGCAAACCACACTCACTTTGTGCTTCGGAGGTTGAAGCCACTTCTCTAAACCCTCCAGTAGCTCTACGTCGTCAGCTAGACGTGGGCGCTTACCTGGCTCGCCTTGGGTGCCCTCCATCTTCCTGTTCTGCCTGGTGGCCAGATGCTCATCATCTTTGGGACACTCTGACCCCGCCAACAGATCCACAACGGGCGCCTGAATGTCTGTGGGCTCTGAGGCATGAGGCGCATCTCATGTTTCCAATAGATCACCTAAGGGCTCCGGCGCCGAAGGACTGGGAACCATATTAGGCTTAATCCTTTTTGGGGTTTCGCCTTCCGGCTTGTGCGCCCGTTGCCTTTACCAGTCGCAGGTGCGGGCGCCTCTGTTTCTGCGGGGGCAGTGCTGGTCTTGTTGGAGCTTGCACCCTTGGATGAAGTTGTTTTGGCCGCTCCACCAGATTTTTTTCCACCCTTCTTCGAGTGGGGCGCCTGCTTGTCCACTAACCCGAGCTTCGCAAATTGCATTTTCATAAGGGAAGTGACGGAGGTGAAATCCACGCCTGCACAAACACACATAAGTAAAACTTGTCAGCAAACATATAGAAGGGAAATCATAACATGCGTGGCTGCATCGCAATTAGGCGCCCACCGTCACGATAGTAATCGTGTAAGACAGGCGCCTTGACCACTGTGGAGCGCAGATTAACGGGATACAAGGAAAGAAGCTGGGCGCTTTCAATTTCCTCGGTAGTAGACAGGGTCACGTCAACGTTGAACGCCTCGTGATCGCCCATCACCCAACCTCTCGTGAACGAGGCGCCACTCTCGTAGAAGGAATCCTTATGCGCCTTAATGAAGAAAAACCCTCTAAACCACTCTCTTCGTAGCTTGGGACACTCTAATAGAAAATGGTTAGGAATGTCTAGGCTCCTCTGCAATGATAGGCAGTTATCACTATAGACCATGTTGAAAAAGTAGTGGAAAAGTTTAAACGTGGGCTCGACAGTATGTTGCCGACACTTCAATTTAAACAAGATGTGGATGAGAAAAACGGAAGGGTGACAAGCGCCCAATCGAACATTGGCATGTGGTCAGTATGCCTTCGAGGATCGAGTCGAGGGGGAGGATGAGCGCACAGAGGGTTCGAATTAGAGAGAGAAAGCTAGAGAGAGAATGGTTTTGGAAAAATGAGGAAGGAGGGGGGCGAGCTGAACTACTTATATCAAAAGAAGCCCAACGAGCAAATACGGGAATGCGCGCCCGACCCTCAGATTCCATCCTCACCGTTTGTTTGAAATTTGAATTTCAAATTTCCAAAAGAATTGAAATTAGAAATTCAAATTTTAAGACGCACAGATAGGGGGCAGATAGGGGTGGGCGCCCATGACCCCACGAAAGATGAGAGTTTAGGCGCCTGGCATTAGTGCAAGGCGTTTTATTAGGCGCCTTCAGATTGCAAATGCAGGGGGACAAGAGCGTGAGGGGCAGTGTTGCATGGTAGGTAGAAGAGTGGCCACAGAAACAATCATCCTTAAAATTTTGCATAGTTAGACGTTCATTGCCAATTATGAATGCCCAACTGGGGGACAAGAGAGTAAAAGACACAGGCGCCTATATTGAGGCAGACGTAGGGGGACAAGGGCGTGAGAGGGATTATTGCATGGCGGGTGGAAGAGTTGTCACAGAAACAGTCATCCTTAAAATTTTACATAGTTAGGCGCTCATTGCCAATTATGAACGCCTAACTGGGGGACAATTGTTGGGGTAGCATCAACCGGACCCAGGGAGGCATGAAAATGGTTAGGCCTAAGCCCACAGGTAGGAGTAAGGAGGCAGGCCCAAACCAATGAATTAAGGCCACGCGCGGGAGAGTAGGCGCATGACGACAAAAGAGAGGTGAGGACAACACGGTACGGAGCGGGAAAGTGGAGAAGGAGCCTCCTGGCGGTCGTGGTCCCTGCTAGGCGCCTATTTTGGGACGCCCTAAAGATGCCACGTATAGGCGCCCGACTGTTGTACCGTACCAAGCATTAAATGAAGTGATGTCGTGGTACTGGATGCCAAGAGGACGGTTGGGACTTCGACAAGTATAAATAGTGCACGGTAGGTGGCATTTAAGCAGGTTGGCTTCTCTCACTAAAATATCTCTTGGCACTTATCTCTCTAGAACTGGCACTGACTTGAGCGTTGGAGTGCTAACGGGCACCTAGAGGCCCTCTAGGCGCTTGTTTGTGAAGGGTTCTGACTCCCCAACTGTGGTTAGTTCTCATTAGTTCCGAATAGGCGAGACTGGTGGGTTGTGGCTCAAACAAAACCCTTACATTTGTACAGTTAAGTATTGTCGACCAATTTCTAATATGCTAGTCATATGTATGTCACTAATAGTTACATTTTTTGTTAGTCATTTTTATCTTTCTCATATTTTCCAATATGTTGTAATCATTCCTTCGAGTAGTTTGAATTTTTAGATAGTTCATGGTCAAATAATGAGCAAATCACACAATTAGAGTGAACAACAAATACAAATTATGTAACCATCAAATTCTTCGGCAAACGGGCCAGGTCCTGTGCTAGTTTGTTAAGGTTCAATCAAAAACAAACTCGTAGGTTAAGATGTAAGGTTTGAATACTAAAATTTAGACCCTTGGAGAACCTAGTTCCAAACCATTTTGGAGAACCTTGAAATAGATGGTACAAGATTATTGATTCTTAACATCGATATTTGACTAAATATCTCGAATCTTGAGTAATGATTCTTTTTCAATATTTTTTTTATCGAATCAAAATCCTTATGGGTGTTAAGTAGGATTGCCCCCCTTTGTTGAGGACCTCGAAAAGAATTCGTTACAAAAACAAAGAATATTTGGCTACAACCCCAAAGAAGCTCCAAAAAAGAGAATAAGGGTTGTGATGAAATTTTAGAATAGAACCGTAGAGAGCAATCACTCTTATTACCTAAATTGAGACTAGTGTTTTGAGCCACCTCTAGTCACTTTATGTCAGGGTTTCCCGAATGAGCAAAACAATGGCATGGCAAACTGAGCGTATCTAGTTACTAGTGACCCATCTCCTAAAACACATTGAGATGATAGGTTTGGGGGCTTTCAAGTTTCACATTTAGCCGCATCTATGCTTGTAGACAAGAAATGCCTACGTGTGGGGTGAGGGGGGTTTGGTAATACCCAAAAAGGTGTCATTTTTTTCTAATCTTAGGTGTTTTCATTTTTTTAGCATTAAAGAGCAAGTGAACCCATGATGTAGCCTATTTTTTCTCCCTAGCATTTGCATGATAGATATTAGGTGCGAACGTCTGCGTTGTACGCATGACGAAGAATGGAGGACTCAAGTGTAGGAATGAGGGCAACATACCATGGATGAGAAAAGCCAGACTATGAACCAGATCACACGAAAAGTACAAGATCATGTTAGGGTTCTCTGATCCCCAGGTCGTGAACTTCGGGAGGCTATGCACGAAGAAAAGCAAAAGGTTTCGTCGTGCGAGTGGCAGTCTTTCTTCCCCGAGACTGTAAGGGAGATCATGGCTGTGAGTGAGATTACACCACAAATTTCATTTCGCGGTTTTGAACTCGAGCCCATGAACCATCATCCAAAGAAGTTCAAAGTAAGGCCCTTCCAAGAACACGCCACAATTCCAGTGATCACGAATGTGAACTCCCTCAAGGTAGGCTGTGATCTTACTCCTACTCCAATTCACTATAAGTAGATGAGTCCTCTAGAGTCGAAGAAGAGACTTTGGAAGCTGGAAACCTAGAAAGAGAGTTGAGAGAAAGAGACTTTTAGAAGCTGAAAACCCTAGCTAGAAAGAGAGAAGAGAGAAGGATCCTCTTTGAGAAGAAGTAGAGCTTGAAGATAAGGCGATGAGAGCTTGAAGAAGAGGATTTCCAGCTGCTTTAAGGGCTTGTTTGCTTCATGGATTTGGTGAGGGATTTGGATCCATCATGGACTTTGTCCAAAATCAATTGTTTGCTTGATGCATTTAGGGCAACAAATTCGTGGGTCCCACAAACTTTAAATGTCCAAATCCGTGGACCCCACGGACTTGAAAGTTCCACCTATTTAGGTGCGAATTGATCATGAACTTTGAAGTCCATCATTTAAGACCAAACTACCCCTCCTATTTCATTTCTCTTCTCATACCAATGAGGGCAATAAATGTAAATTTCACTTTATCAATACAAATCTAATTAACCAACTCCATCATGAAATCTATGAAACAAACAATGGTATTTTTCAAGTCCATGATGAACCCAAAACCCTCTTATATCCATGGTTTCACAAAGCCAAATTTTACCAAAAACTTCATTTTTCAAATCCACGAAGCAAACGAGCCCTAAGTTCTTTTCTTGTGGTTTTCCTTTCCCCTCTCTCTTATTTTTCTTCCCCTTTATGGGGTAGGTGCTTGAGACTTAGTCCCTCAAACCCTATTTAGGGTGTGTAGTTGTTTTCCCGGCGAGAAAAACTAGATGAACAGAATTGGATTTTGCACCTTTGACTTCCAAACAAACGATCAAACAACACAGTTCACACCTCTTTGAACAAAGTTCAAACAAGGGTGTTCAATGTTTTGATGAACTACGAGGCAAATCTACATTAAATTAGCCCTACTCCTATGGAGGTTCAGTGAGAGCTCCAAAAACTACAACTATGGCTAAAATCTGCAGAGGAAAAGATAAAAGATAAAACTTGACAAATGGTGTCGAGTTGTGATTTTTGCGACCCTTTCTCTGTCATCTTCACCTCTGATGACTCGGTATTTGCACATGTTTTCCCCTTTGTTTCTTGATTGTTTGAGCTTGAATTATTGCGTCTTTGGCCTATTTTATGCTAGGTTGTATTCCTTTGTCCCATTTCAGGTCCTAGCACATAAAGTGAAGCATAGGCGCAAGTTTCAAGTCAATCAGAGATCAATTGACGATTCGAGAGAAGAAACTCGGGCATGACCTGAAGAAGAATGGATTTCTACCTCACTTTATGGACAAAGAATCATGCAAGCTTGTTATGAAACGAAAGAGGACGAGATGAGGGAGAAACGAAGCATTAAACAGAGGCTGAGCAAGCTGCATGGGCAGACCAGGGAGGCTGCACGGCCGTGCACGTGAGCAATATGGCCGTGCGCCTTATGCCGAGGACACGCACGGGCAACCCCTGAAGCTCGCACGGTCGTGCACCCTGGCCGTGCGAGAGGGCTGAAGTTCGACTAAATGACACGCTGCGTTTTGAGTTGCACGGCCAGAATGGTGATATGCACGGCCGTGCACCCTGGCCGTGCGAGTCGGGATTTCCTGGTTTTAAGCCAAATTCCGAACCAAAGAAGAGGAGAGCTGGGTTTTGGATCCCAATCACCCAAGGGACGAACCCTAGAGAGAGAGGGCGATTTGAGGGCATTCTTGGAGTAGAGAAGGAGGATTTCTTTGCCTTGGATGCTCGAGGAACAAGCCCGGACTTGAAGACTGATCATCTGAAGATTCTTACTGCAGTCTCTCTCTTCTCTATGGAGTAACTTCCCTTCACTTAGGTTTTGAGGAACCCTAGCTATGTTTGTTTGATTGGATGATTGTATGAGTACTCTGACTGGATAATCTTGAGTTCATATTCAATCTATGCATGTTTTCATGATTCAATTCTGCTTTAGTCGAGATTATTGATTCTGCTTTGATTCTATGAGAGGGAATACCTGATTAGGTCAATAGAGCACCATAGATTGATAGTAGTGGATCGATTGCTTTAGTCGAGGGTTGATTCACTGCTTTGTATCGATTGAGAACCTCTTTCGATAGAGGGAGTCTAGTTCAGAACGCCTTGATCAGTTGTTCTAGAGAAGGATACGTCCCTCTAGGCAATTGACTCAAGAGGGCCTTGTTCCTTTAGTCGAGACTCAAGGTCTAGTCAAGGATTCTCCGCATTGTGAATGAAAATGAAACAGGTTAGAGATCATCAATCGTTAATCTGGCTAGTGGCTAGGGGGAATCATACCTAAGTGAGTTCCCAACCTGTAATTAGATTAACTTTAACTGTAGTTTGCTAGAGTAGTTTTAGTTCTTTCATCTTAATCTGATTTGCTAAATAATAAACTGAAGCTGAGTAATAGTAACTCTAGAGACCCGTGGATTCGATATTTATCACTTGAGCCACTATACTGCAGTCCCTTTCATTGGTTACACTTGGCCTTTGTTAGGTGTTGTGTCGTAGCGAGTCAAGTTTTTGGCGCCGTTGCCGGGGACTTTCTAGAGTATTAGGAAAGGCAGAAGTTTGTTACTTTAGCGTTTTTCTTTTCTTTTCTTTTCCACCCTTGCTTTTCACTTGGGTGTTTTTGTTTTTGTTGGTGCAGATCTGAATCATGGATCCTAATGGCTTCTCCAATCATTGGGGGTATCCACCACCATCTGGGTGGTATTACCCCGAGACTCCGTGGAGCAATCAAGGCGGAGAAGACTATGGATTCGGGTTCCAGTACCAACCCCCTTACTACGGAGAACAACCGGACCCCTGGGCATATCAAGAACAACCTCATTATCAAGAAGAATTTCTCCCACAACCAGAAGGGCCATCGGCACTGGAGTTACTCATGGAGCAGTATGCTCGAGACTGTGAGAGAACATGCTCCAGGATGGATCAGTGTGTCCAGGCCTATCGTGAAACAGATGAGATCCTCCTGAGCCTTAAGAAGAGCGTCGATGATCTTGAGCGATCTTGGGCGCAACCTGCTCCAGATCACCCTTCTGCTACCATACAAGAAGAGGAGGAGGAAGAAGAAGGCTACAAGGGCATTGTGGAACACACTGAAGTCGTCACGGAGAGCTCCCGTGATGATCATGATCAGGCCTGTCATGTCGTAGCCGACCACACCTTCCCACACCCCAAACTGAGCTTTGAAGAGGCGGGCATGAGTGAGGAGATACAAGAAGATCTCATGAAAGAAATTGCTTGGCAACTTGCTCTCCAATCCGTGCTAGAAGAAGAAGAGCAAGAAAGGGTGCAGAAAGAAGTTGTGGAGGATGACGAAAGTGAAGCTAGAGGAGTTCTTGATCATTTCCCAGGGGTGATACCACATGAAGAAGGAAGGGAGGTTGAAGAAGCAATTGGCGTCCAGGCTGAGGACGAAGTTGAGGTGGAAGAGGCTTGCACCGGCCATGAGTTACAGGTGATATCTCCACCAAACTTCGAGGAACTGCTTAGCAAGGACCCATTTGCAGTGTCTCTTTGCCAGACCAAGGCCACCTCGACATCGGTCCCTCTTGGTGGACGCGATGGTGGCCAATCGATGTTGTCATATCTGGTTTGGGGCAATGAGACGAGAGAAGAGAAGGAGAGGTCTCGAGGGTGGAGACTTCATCTGCATCAAGTACATGAGCCTTCATCACCTGCCACATCACATGCTCATGACTTGAGACTCCACCTCATCGACGAGAACCTCAACTTCAAGGAGGTTCTCTCATGGACCGAAACTTAGGAGCCATCGTCCGGCTCACGACGTGAAAGAAGCGCTTGTTGGGAGGCAACCCAACCAGTCGGTTTGCATCTCTTTCTCTATTTCTCCTCGGTTGAGTCAGTTTTGTTATTTGATTTTAGAGTCAATAACTCAACCTTTGTGAGATTTTGTGTGGTTTTTGTGTTCTGATTACTCTCTCTTTCTGGAATGCACCGCCTGACCCGTACATCATCATTCACCCTTGATCTGGTAACTTCGTTCTACCCTCCTTATCTTTCCTCCATTGAGGACAATGTCGTGCTTAAGTGTGGGGGGATGTTCGATTATGTATGCGGGTGAATGTTTGGCTGTTTGTGTGCTTGGAGCCTAGTCCACTGTCCAAATCTTTAAATTTGAGGGCTCCAAGTACGTGTTCCATGCAATTGCCTGCTCAGTATGCTTTGAATTGACAGTCTTTACAGTAATATGCAACCTAGGGAGGTAGTGTAGCACTATGGAGGATGTTGATGCATTTAAGAAGTCTCATGTCTTCTTCATATTGAGTTGGTTGATTGAGTGAATTAGTGATCTTAGGACCCTTGAATTGTGTGGTGTTGTGGATTCTCTACCTGTCATGGACTCTTGTATCATGTTTTGAAAGTAACAGGTGCTCGAAAATGTGCTTCAAAATAACGTCTCCCGTGCGAATAGGGCGAAAGTGTGTAAGGGGAGACGGGAATTCGTTCCCAATTTCCACCTACTACCTCCAGCCCCCTTACATGTCTTTCCCCCGCACGAGGCTCGAGACATCCGCTCCTGGCATGGCCGGTAAGAGCAGGTTGGGACCCTTGAAAGAAAAAAAAAAAAGAAAAAAAAATAACAGAAAACAAGCAAAACAGAAAGAAAAGGGGTTCCAACTATCTTCAAGAAGAAAATAGAGCACCTTGAAAAATGTGAGTCCATGATCCTTTGTTTTTGAGAATCTCTGCATCCACAATTCATTTGTCCTCTGTTCACTATTTGCCATGATGCCGACTCGATACTAGTGCTCTCGCCGAAGAAGCTATGAGATAACTTGTGTGTCGGTTGACCTCGTAAGTTGCTAAATGATCTAGGAAGTCCTCTACCTACGATCTGGGGTGTTTGTTGCTATAGAGGTCTGAAAAGTTGCATTGGTTTGAGTTAGGTTTGATTGAGGACAAGCAAACAGTTAAGTGTGGGGGGGATTTGATGACTCGGTATTTGCACATGTTTTCCCCTTTGTTTCTTGATTGTTTGAGCTTGAATTATTGCGTCTTTGGCCTATTTTATGCTAGGTTGTATTCCTTTGTCCCATTTCAGGTCCTAGCACATAAAGTGAAGCATAGGCGCAAGTTTCAAGTCAATCAGAGATCAATTGGCGATTCGAGAGAAGAAACTCGGGCATGACCTGAAGAAGAATGGATTTCTACCTCACTTTATGGACAAAGAATCATGCAAGCTTGTTATGAAACGAAAGAGGACGAGACGAGGGAGAAACGAAGCATTAAACAGAGGCTGAGCAAGCTGCACGGGCAGACCAGGGAGGCTGCACGGCCGTGCACGTGAGCAATATGGCCGTGCGCCTTATGTCGAGGACACGCACGGGCAACCCCTGAAGCTCGCACGGCCGTGCACCCTGGTCATGCGAGAGGGCTGAAGTTCGACTAAATGACACGCTGCGTTTTGAGTTGCACGGCCATAATGGTGATATGCACGGCCGTGCACCCTGGCCGTGCGAGTCGGGATTTCCTGGTTTTAAGCCAAATTCCGAACCAAAGAAGAGGAGAGCTGGGTTTTGGATCCCAAACACCCAAGGGACGAACCCTAGAGAGAGAGGGCGATTTGAGGGCATTCTTGGAGTAGAGAAGGAGGATTTCTTCGCCTTGGAAGCTCGAGGAACAAGCCCGGACTTGAAGACTGATCATCTGAAGATTCTTACTGCAGTCTCTCTCTTCTCTATGGAGTAACTTCCCTTCACTTAGGTTTTGAGGAACCCTAGCTATGTTTGTTTGATTGGATGATTGTATGAGTACTCTGACTGGATAATCTTGAGTTCATATTCAATCTATGCATGTTTTCATGATTCAATTCTGCTTTAGTCGAGATTATTGATTCTGCTTTGATTCTATGAGAGGGAATACCTGATTAGGTCAATAGAGCACCATAGATTGATAGTAGTGGATCGATTGCTTTAGTCGAGGGTTGATTCACTGCTTTGTATCGATTGAGAACCTCTTTCGATAGAGGGAGTCTAGTTCAGAACGCCTTGATCAGTTGTTCTAGAGAAGGATACGTCCCTCTAGGCAATTGACTCAAGAGGGCCTTGTTCCTTTAGTCGAGACTCAAGGTCTAGTCAAGGATTCTCCGCATTGTGAATGAAAATGAAACAGGTTAGAGATCATCAATCGTTAATCTGGCTAGTGGCTAGGGGGAATCATACCTAAGTGAGTTCCCAACCTGTAATTAGATTAACTTTAACTGTAGTTTGCTAGAGTAGTTTTAGTTCTTTCATCTTAATCTGATTTGCTAAATAATAAACTGAAGCTGAGTAATAGTAACTCTAGAGACCCGTGGATTCGATATTTATCACTTGAGCCACTATACTGCAGTCCCTTTCATTGGTTACACTTGGCCTTTGTTAGGTGTTGTGTCGTAGCGAGTCAACCTCCTATTTATAGCCACCAGAAATAACTGCTTCGAGAAACTGCTCTGCTGACATGGAGTGGCGGTTATCCTCTCAACTGCTTCGACAATTACCTTGACGTTGTATGTAGACTAATCTTGGACTCTCCTCTTGAGACCTCACTCCATGCTCTTGGTATCTCCTCCGTAGCTTTGCTTGTCTATAGAGAAAAAATGGCTAAGGCATGAGAGCATACCACGTGCCACATATGGGTGGGTACTCGAATCACTTGAGTCAAAAATGGCAAAAATACTTCACCATTACGAGAGTAGGGAGACCACGTACCCACCTGACCCCCCTTGACCACCTCATGAGGGTGGTGCCTTGGTAGCCCCCCTGGCAACCTCATGGGGGCGATGTTGACCACGCCCCTTGGCCATACCACAGGGGGTGGATATTAATCACCGCCCTGATCATATCATGGGTATGACATGCTCATGGCGGGGTGTGTTGATGGCCACCCCCTGATCATCTCATGGCCATCCTTGGTGATCAACCTCGTGTATCATACCATGAGGCCCCCATCTTCTCCATACTTAATCGTATTTACCTCCTGGGGTGGCAGTGTGATGCCCACCCCCTTGCCACGTCCTGGGGGTGGTATGATGGTGGTCACCCCCCTTGGTACCTCCTAGGGGTGGCTACCATGCTCCTCGCCTTAGCCAAATTCGGCCATCACCCCCCTCACCATGTCCTGGGGGTGGCGGTATGATGCCCACCCCCCTTACCACGTACCTCCTGGGGGTGGCAGTCCCCTTACCACGTACCTCCTGGGGGTGGCAGTATGATGCCCACCCCCCTTGCCACGTCCTGGGGGTGGTATGATGGTGGCCACCCCCCTTGGTACCTCATGGGGGTGGCTATCCTTCTCTTTGCCTTAGCCAAATTTGGCCATCACCCCCCTCACCATGTCATGGGGGTGGCGGTATTGATTTCCACCCCCTTGCCACGTCCTGGGGGTGGTGGTATGATGCCCACCCCCCTCTGCGTGTCATGGGGGTGGCTCCCATACTTAGTCAAATTTGGATATGCTTGGCGCGCGTGGTGGCACGGAGTAATGGGCTCAAAAACCCAATCATCATGGCCCACTCAACTTATTTAAACTGATATGATTAAGTTGGCCTTACAAAGCCATTTAATTCCTTGTTTTTAACCGATGTGGTACAAGGTTAATTTTTATGGATAAACAGTAGTATGTGATGGATGACATTTGATAATCTATGGATTATTAAGTTCAATTTGTGTGCCCAATGCTTTAGTTCATGATTTATATTCACGCAAATGTTGTTTGCATGTAATTTACCATGTTTTATTGACTAGAGACTTAGCTTAGGTAGAGGTGATAATCTCCCTATGTTGAGTGCTCATTTAATTGTTGTCTCTTGAATATTTACATGACCATTGATTCATTAGAGCGGTTTGCCCATGGGTTAAACCCGTTTACCAGAGGTTAGATTGTATCCCTAATTAAGGAATCCAACTATGTGACCTCGGGTAGGTGGGTATGATTAGGAGAGGAATCGGGATTCATGACCATTGTACTGATTCCCCACACTAGCGTAGCGACCCTCATGCCTCGACTTTCTTGTATATGGTTACCAACCGTTGCATGTCATCCCCGATCGTTAGGGTAAGGGCGACAACTCCCAAAGTATCATTCTTCTCTTTGCGCATCGTTCGTAGTTTCAACTTGCTTAGTCCTCAACAAAATCCTAATTATTCGACTAGATAACGACCACGCTCAAAGAATAGACTGCTAGGCACGAGGATACGACTGAGGTCAAACTGTTGTACTATTATGCCAAATTAAGTTATGCCTGGACTAATTGGAGTGGTAAGTTAGAAGTGTCCTGCGTTTTCAAAGCTCGCGTGTGAGCATCTGTGAACATTTAAACGGTTAAATCGCTGGAGTGGCATTTAAACGATTTTATCAACTTCGACACACTAAAATTGCAATTGGCAATTCCCATTCCATGCCAAGACATTAGCTCTAACGGATTCTCTACGAAACAATAATAGTATCGGCGATTTTTGTTTTATTTACAAGGATGAATATTGACCCATTAATCTGTGTTTTCAATCACGTCCTTTGTTTTATATACAAGGATGAATATTGACCCAAAATTTGATGTCATCAGCTTAACCCCACAGTCCACACAAAAGAACAAGAACCCATTTGACTAATTAGCAATCCTTCTCCTCACCAAGCAATAAATAAATAAGATCCCCCCATTTCCCTCCAAAATACACATTTCACTCGAAAGTCAAGACCTTCCTTTCTCTCTCTCAGGCTTCAAAACCCCAATTTTTGCAGAGCTTATCCTCCATTTAAGTTCGTTTCTCAAAGAGGATCATCATGATAAGATCAAAGGCTCATCACCATCACCATCATCAAGAAGTTGGATGCTTTTTGCTGATTCTGGTGCTGGTTTGTTCACACCATGGATTTGTGGGTGCAGAACATCAAGTTCATGGTCCAGCAGGTTCTGGTGATCATCAAAGCTACAACGGTTATCATAGTGAAGATGGTGATTTCGTTGCTACGGTCGACCGAGTTGTCCCTTCTAGCCCCGACCCTCTACACAACAAGTAGGTCTTGGGATTTTATATATATGTACGCGAATGACACAGGTTTCATAGTTTTGTACCGTCACGAATGAAATGAATCTTATACGATTCAGTTTGTCCATGTACTAGCTCCATCCATCTTATTGGAATATGCATGTGGTGTTATATGAGATAATTAATTAAGATCAAGGTGGCTGAAAAAAACAATATATGTTTTAAGTCTACAATCTACATGTATACGAGTATTATGTTTAGTGACTTACGTATTATGTATCTTGCACCTATCACGGGGTCAGCCAACAATTAGAATTTTGTATATGTGGTTCCAAGCTACGCCATGTTGATCCCGACTTTAATTTAAAGCCGATTATGTTGATGCTACAATATTAAAAGAAGTAGGTTTCAGGAATGCACTGAGCTGGAACGATGTTGGTCTCGAGTTATGGAGAGAGTTGGAGACCCACTAAAATTTAATGCAGTTTCTTCTGGAATAATGGAAATTGTCTCTTTTGGGTTTGTCACCATGAGAAATTATTGGCTTGCAAAAACAAAACCATACATAGCTGTAACTGGGAAGGAGCTAAGTTGCATATATTCAGACGAATGGATGGACCAGAACAAGTTCATCTGTTGATCTCTCGTGTTTCGTTTTTAATGGAACAACCAACCATTCTTTCAACAACAACAACAAAAAAACATTCACTGTGATCTCTAGAGAGAATTTGCACGGTGGAGAGGTAAACAACATTCGTAATTTCTTTAAGTTATAGGACGGAAATAAGAACTCTTTACGCAGACGAAATATTTGAGTCCTGTATCAGATTCAGGTTAGAGGTTAAGATCTTGGCCCAACTATTTGAGCTTCTTGAATGGATTAATCTTTTCTATGTCTCAGACTATCTATCATAAATTTGGTAATATGAGGCCAATAATACATGACTCTAGGGAAACTCAATAAAAACTAGGAGATTTCAAAAACTTATATAGAGTGATTTTTATCGTATCTTGAGTAAAATTAAAGGTATAGTATATCTTGAGTAAGAAAATGATATTCAGATCTTAAATTGATAAAATTTTGGGCATCATACTATGCCATAATCCTTGATGAATGAAACCTAGGTCTTAGTTATCTAAAATATAGGCCTCAACCCCCAAAACGATGCATGTAATTTTTTGAATATATTTTAACAAATCGTGACCGTCGATTGTTGTTTCTAATAAAATTTTATTAGTGTAAGAGTTAAGAATCAGATTTTAATCTGTAAGGATTATGATACAGTACCATGTCCCAAATTTCAGTCAATTCAAGAGTTGTTTTTTTAAAGCCAATTCAAGGTTTAGATGTTATTTTTTACTCAAGGTAGAATTATTAATATATATAGCTAAAAAAGTGTCACATTTTCATGCCAAAGAAAATAGAGAAGTCACAGTTTCACGAAGGTCAAGCATCTCGAATAAGGCTAAAAATGATAATTGATATGATTAATTAATTGATAAAAACGATAATTGATATGATTAATTAATTGATTAATGTATTCAACGAAAATTAATTGATTAATGCAAATCCCCTTTCAATTTTTCCTTTGACTTTAGCAGCTGCCTTAGATAATTTATGCCATACGTATGAATTGATGGGATGAAAATGAAATAAAATGACTATGCGTATAAGAAAATGAAACATCACCCTGTCGCCTAAAAAGATTATGTTACGGATAAAATCATATTATTAAACAGAATATAAATTGACACTTTGTCACCTACGTATAACCCAACGTTTCATTGATGCCAACATTTATCAGAGTCATGTAAACACCATAATCAAACAAATGTGGGTGGGAGTATACCTAAGCTCGTTTAGTAAATAGTATGGTTTCACCGGTCTATAACATATTTATAGCGGTTTAACAAAATATATATAAATGTGAAACATCTTTAACATAAAATGAATTTAAGTATATATAAGAAATATTTGAAAGTAAGTTACTTACGATCTGCATTCATATTTAAATAAAATGCAACATTCAAAACAAAATATAAAATACTCATATTAAAATACAATAATTAACGACAACACCTATACATGCATACTTGAAACAAACATTTAATGTTCAAATTTGTTAAATAATTCACAATTAATGTTTTTGATAATTAATTTTACTAAAAACAACGTCATTTTGTTCAGAGGTTGGAAATCAATCATGTCGATCATATCAATAATAGTCTAGTTGGTTTCACGATTGGCACCTGTTATATTAGATTCAACTAGTTGACATTCCACTGTCGTGACAACAATGGTAGGAATGCTTCCAAAAGGTTACTGGCCAATTTGGTCACCCTACTCGTCTTTCCTTTGTCATGCATAGTACCATGCTGGCTATACATAATAAGTCTTGAGATTTTAAGTGATGTGAATGAGAATAAAGGGAAAGGAACTTCTTTAATATCATATTGGTGAGATGTGATAAAGGAAGTGAGTATTTTTTAAATGGGAATCCCCCTAAAGCTAGTAAAAAGAGCAGAAGAATACGAGCTCTCTCGTTGTCATTGTTGTTGATCCTCTTGTTTTCGAACAAATAGATTTGATGATTTGATTATATTTGGTTGGTATTCGGTCATACTGGTTATTATACACAAACCAATGCAATGATAGGAGTGAACCGCTCTGTAAAAAGGGATCAAGGCGAAGAACTTAGGGTTTGAAGAGAGAAGAAGGGAATTGATTGTCAATGTGCGATACAGCAGAGAATCAGATGGAAGGGACAACAGAACCGTTTCATTGATGCCAACATTTATCAGAGTCATGTAAACACCATAATCAAACAAATGTGGGTGGGAGTATACCTAAGCTCGTTTAGTAAATAGTATGGTTTCACCGGTCTATAACATATTTATAGCGGTTTAACAAAATATATATAAATGTGAAACATCTTTAACATAAAATGAATTTAAGTATATATAAGAAATATTTGAAAGTAAGTTACTTACGATCTGCATTCATATTTAAATAAAATGCAACATTCAAAACAAAATATAAAATACTCATATTAAAATACAATAATTAACGACAACACCTATACATGCATACTTGAAACAAACATTTAATGTTCAAATTTGTTAAATAATTCACAATTAATGTTTTTGATAATTAATTTTACTAAAAACAACGTCATTTTGTTCAGAGGTTGGAAATCAATCATGTCGATCATATCAATAATAGTCTAGTTGGTTTCACGATTGGCACCTGTTATATTAGATTCAACTAGTTGACATTCCACTGTCGTGACAACAATGGTAGGAATGCTTCCAAAAGGTTACTGGCCAATTTGGTCACCCTACTCGTCTTTCCTTTGTCATGCATAGTACCATGCTGGCTATACATAATGGGGTCGTTTGGATTAGTGAATGTGATGAGGGATTTATGAGTGATTTTAAAACAATCTCTCGTTGTGCAGGATTTTAAAACAATTCTGCGTTTGGAAAGGTGAGAGATTGTGGGCATGAGGAAATTCTAAATCTCTCATATGAGTTTTTTTAAAATAGCTTATGGGGATCAGCTATTTCACAATCACTCATTTTTTCTCATTCTTTTCCAAACTCTGCCCCTCCTTTTGTTCTTCCTTTCTTATTCTTCCTTAGGGATTAGGGATGGGTATAATTGTAACTTTAATTTTTAATTAAAATCCTTCATCTATTCCCAAACATGTTATTTGGATCAAATCCCACGTTTAAAATACTTGAGTTTTTAATTGAGAGATTTTAATCCAAATCCCTCATTTACACATTCCCTAATCCAAACGACCCCAATAAGTCTTGAGATTTTAAGTGATGTGAATGAGAATAAAGGGAAAGGAAGTTCTTTAATATCATATTGGTGAGATGTGATAAAGGAAGTGAGTATTTTTTAAATGGGAATCCCCCTAAAGCTAGTAAAAAGAGCAGAAGAATACGAGCTCTCTCGTTGTCATTGTTGTTGATCCTCTTGTTTTCGAACAAATAGATTTGATGATTTGATTATATTTGGTTGGTATTCGGTCATACTGGTTATTATACACAAACCAATGCAATGATAGGAGTGAACCGCTCGGTCCAACTGTCATTGGCTGAATTAATGTAATGGAACAATTGCCCCCTTCAAAAGCACTTGACAAACTTTTGTCGGATTTCAAAGTATCAGTACATAAGAAAAGGTATGGTACCATGAGGGGATAACTAAATTCCATGAGAAGAAATAGTGAAATCTATTGGTTCTGGTATATGTTGTCTATACATATTTGAATGATCTTGTGCAATCTTTATGCATGATTATCTCTACTCTTTTTCCTTGGGGTTTCGTCCATATCTATTTCCATATGTGGTATGCATGTAATTTGTAGAACAAGATAACTAAACATACATTAGGTTTAGCATGCTTAAAGAATTTAGTTATGTTTATGTGTAGGGATGGCAACTTTACCCATACCCATGGGTTTCTTACTATCCAATCCAATTGGGTTGGGTATGAAATCCAAATAGATGGATATGGGTAGAGTTTGATGGGTTTGTACCCATACCCATTTACTTTGGGTTGAGTTGGGTTTATATCAAATGGATTTGGGTTTGTACCCATGCCCAAATACAAATTACAGTTTTGTACCCAAACTTAATAGACGTGCATATTTAGTACCTAAAATTAATTTTTTTGCATATAAGTCCTCAAAATATCGATGAAAATTACGTTTTGGCACCTAAATTTTTTTGGTCTTACATTTTGGTACCTAAACTTTTCAAGTTTTGCAAATAGGTCCAATTTTTGCATGTGTAGTTAAAACACCCTCAAGTAAATGGATATCCATATCCAACCCATACCCATTTAGATTATGGAAGCCCCAAACCCAAACTCATCTATAAACCCCCAAATCCATATGCACTTCACCCATACCCAACCAACCCATTATCAAAGGGTCTACTTGGGTTTGGGTATAATTACCCATGGGTGGGTAATTTGCCATCCCTATTTATGTGCATTCATCTTATGTTCGATTATTGTCAAAAAAAAATCTTATGTTCGATTCATTTGATATTATTTTTGTTCACGATATACATTATGTGTTCGGTTTATATATTCTTCCTATATATTGCATACATATAGCATAATTTTTTTTTATTATGTTCTTGTATATTTTATTTCTAACAAAAATTATGAAGACTAAATTTGTGTAGTTTTCTACTCCATTCGGGATTGAACTTGTGTGTTCTCCTACTAGCGGTTGGTTATTAGTGGAATAGTGGTCATGCTAATAGATTTATGGTTCTGTATTGAAGAGAAATGAAAAGTAAGGATAACATGATGGCTTATACCTATTAAAATAAGGGGAGAACCCAAATCAAGTTATACCAACTCAGAGAGCCCACTTCAAGTTGCTACT